AAATTTACCAAATTTATGTAAGGTATCAAAAAGTTGGAAAAAAGAGTTATTTGAACCATCCAAAAAACACACAGAATCATCAGCAAACAAGGAGATCTTGACCTCTTGATTTTTGACTGGAATACCTTTAATTAAATTGTTTTGTCGTATGGAAAGGGCCATTATCTCTATTACAAGTAAAAAATAAATATGGAGAGATTGGACATCCCTGAAAAATTCCTCTTTCCATATCAATGCGTTCTGTAAGGAAACCATTGTTCAAAACATAAGAATGGCGACCAGCATATAAAGTCTTAATGGAGTCTATAAATTCTTTGCTAAAATTAAACTTTTCTAGGGTTAAAAATAGAAAATTGTGGGAGACACTGTCAAAGGCTTTCTCAATGTCAAGTAACAAAATAGATCCTGGAATATCATTCATTTCAGTATATTCAATAATGTCCAAAATTAAACGAATGTTGTGGCCAATGTTCCTACCTTTCATAAAACCAGATTGATCACTATGAATAAGATCACATAAGCAACGCTTAAGACGGTTAGCAAAGCACTTAGCCACAATTTTATAATCTGATGTCAACAATGTAATAGGGCGATAATTTTTTATGAGGAGAGGGTCTCTATCCTTCTTTGGGAGGAGAGTGATTATACCATTCCTTTGTGAGGGAGACAAAATTCCATTTTGTAAAGAAAAATTCGGGGATTTCATCAGCATATCACTTATGTCAGGCCAAAATATCATATAAAACTCAACAGGTATACCACCAAACCCAGGGGTTTTATTCCTATTCATGGATTTAATGACATTATACATTTCTTGATTTGTAAGAGGGGTGTCTAAAGATTGTTTTTGATCTTCCGAGAATTGAGGAATATTAATTTTTATCGAAGAGAGATTCGTTAATGTCATTACCATCAATTAATCCTTGAGCATCATCTTAAAAAGAGTATAAATTACCATAAAAGCTTTGAATTTCTCTTAAGATTCCAGCTGGGTCAGTAATTAGGTCGCCTTTAGAGTCTTTTAGCCTAGAAATATTTTTCTTATGCCAGTTCCTGTTTTCTAAATTACAAAAATATTTAGTACTTTTCTCTCCTTCCTCTACCCATCTAACCATCGAGTAATTAACCCTTTTGTCTCAAAATCATAAATATTGTTCAACTTTTCTTCTAATTCTTCTAATTTTGTCAAGAGGGAATTATCATCATGAGGTGGGACGGTATTTGACAATTGGAGTCTTATCTTATCAATGTCAAGTAATAGCCTATTTTTTTCACTGTTTCTTTCTCTTTTCTTCCTGGAGGAATATTCCATGGTAACCCCTGTAATAACACACTTTAGGGAGTCCCATAATATGTTGGGGTTGCAATCTGAGTTTTTATGGTTTTCTTTAAAATCAGTAATTGTGTCTGTAATTAATTGAACAAAATCAGAATTATGGTGAAGGTAGTGACAATTCATTTTCCAAAAACCTCTCCCCCTTTTAGGTTGATTATCATTAAATAAAATTTGAACAATAGAATGATCTGATTGTATTCCAGGTAATATTTTAGAACTTACACAATTATCTATAAAATTACTAGAGACTAAAATAAAATCAAGCCTGGATAAAGCCCTTGGTGTTTTTTGGTGGCGAGTATACTGTCGTAAGTTAGGATGAAAGTGTCTCCACACATCAACAAGTCCAATTTCATCCATTAAAGCTTATCTGCCATAGTTAACAGGAGGGATTAGAGCGCCCTGCAAGGTCACTGGACAGGTGGTTATCTCATCAACTCAGCTCTCAGTTAACATAAGAAAAAGAGGATCATGGGGGACCAATGGTCACCGATTAGGCATTGTTTGTTATATAGAGGGCGCAATTAGCTACAAGTAGTGCAGTGGGCCTTTAAATTAGATATCATTTCACTCGGATTTTTGTTAGAATGTTGTGATCTTGAACCCTGATAATCAAGTGGGCTGATTACTAAGTTGAAATCTCCACCTATAAAAAGAATGGGACTGCTTAGTTTATCTATTTCAGCAAAAACCTTTAACAAGAAGTCAGGATCATCCTTATTTGGTGCATATATGTTAACCAAAGTCATTTGTAAATCATCTATGATTGCCTTTAATATAATAAATCTTCCTTTAGGGTCACTAAATTTGGAAAGTACCTGAACAGAGACAGTTTTTCTAATCAAGATGGCAACTCCTCTACTGGCAGAACTAAAACTTGAAAAAAAAGCAAGTTCACCCCACTGAGTTTTCCACAACATTTCATCTTTTTTATCAGAGTGTGTTTCTTGCAAATAAATAATATCAGTACCTAAACTTTTCAAATAATGAATTTTTTTTTTTTTTTTTTTAAATAAAATTCTTGCAACCCACGACAATTAAAAGTATTCAATTTTATGGTCATGGTGGATGATTATCACAATTAAGTGCTACTAGCCAAATTATTTGAATACTATATTGAACTCCATCATAAAAACAATATAACAAGATAGTTGTATTGAGTACACTAATACTAAAAAAAAGAACATTCTGCCACATAATAAAAGAAAAGAAGAAAAAAGAAATCACAAAAAGAAAAAAAAGGTAATTACAGAGGTACATTATATTAAGTCTTGAAAAGAAGCCGACAAACGTGCAAGATGAAGAACAAGGTTTCAAATAAAAAACAACCTTGTTGTAACACGTAAACAGAGAAAGAAAAAAAAAGCACTGAGGCTTATAAAATACCCAAAAATCAAGCTGGTGAATCTTAAAATGTATCATTAGAATTGTCACACAATATGGATAAAGATTACAAGTACTAACCGAAATGTCCAGGCCCCCAAGGGCCCCATTGCCTAATCGCCCATGGATCGTCTTGTTTGGAATCATGCTCTAACCCAAATACTGAATTATACATGTAGATGATGGACATAAGAATAAAAACTAAACCATAGTACCATACACATTACACAATAGAGTACCTGTTACCAGGGAGAAGTTTGTTATTAAGACAGTATACACTGTACACCTATTAGGCTACTGGTTGTGTGTGGCATGTAAATGTAAATTTCTTTTCAAAATAACATATCGAAGATCAGAATGGTTATTGTCAAAAAGAGCATGACATATTGACCAGTGAATCATGACCATTTGTTTGAATCGGCCAGATCTTAGTAGCTTGTCACATCTCCCATGAAATTCAATCTTTCATATATTAAGTACACTCAAAAGAGAGAAGAGAAGAAGGGGAAAAGAGAAGCACAGAACAAACAGAAGAAAAAGGAGAAGAAGAAGGAGAAGACCGATGCTGGATAGCTTCTATAAACCGGTAGCAGGCCGTGCCCTCGGGTAGGCAATTATTGGCCAAGGGAGTCCCTTAGTATTATGACGAGCCCGTTTGCTGGGCCAAACCGAGTGGAATGGTCCTTGGAAGGGTCAGCCCATGGGGGGGGGGGGGGGGGGGGGGGTTCCCCGGTGGACGTGGGTGCGCTCTCAAATAGAAGAGGTGGTACTCCGAAGCGCCCCCAACTTACAAGCAAGTGGCACCAGAGGACCCTCCGCGTTCTTAGAGGACGGGAGAATCGGCAGTCTTCAGCGCCCTCCTCATTCTTTTCTTTGATTCACTGATAATTATGTCCCAGGGTGGGTGAAAGGGCTGACTCCCCTATTAGTAGGGACTTTTAGATTTGCACGAAGACAATGTGGATTGCTACGATCGACGTCCTTGTAATGCACTGCTTTGAATGGACGTCACACGTAATCGGTCCACGCAAATCTAAAAGTCCCTAATGCTGGTCGCCTTGAACTAGCCCTGATTACGTCCCAACGGGGGCGCCGGACTCTCTCTCTCTCTCGTGCCAATCAAAATGGCCTACCAAGAAGAACAGACGTGGGAGACCTGAGAGAACTCAGGTGACAAGATCCAACCTTGGTGGTATAGGAAGGTGTCGATGACCTTGTGATTCTCCTGTGTATTATTAAAGTGAAAGATCCTTACAGCCTATACTATTTGATTCTATAACATAATATATGTCATTGCACAAAATATTTTAATTTTTAGTCTTTATGATGCTTGTGAAATAGACAAAATAAAGACAATTTCAAGATTTGTCTGTACTCTATAATTATTACCCTAATGTAGTTTAAAATCTGACTACTTCAAAATACCAAATGAACTACCTAAATCTAAGTTCTCTTCCAAGTAAAACTAGCTAAATTATCCGACCCCGCTATCTAAGGGCGCGTGTTTTGCCACTATTATACATTCGTACCCCACTATCATACCCCACTATCGAACCCCACAAAATTTCTTATCATTTTGATGATTCCAGAACCTTGCAGTACGCACCAATACTTATGATCAGCTTTTTCTGATCGAGTCCACATCTTTTCTTTCACAATGCAATCACATGCCAAGAACTCAACTTTATCTTTAAACAGTATATCTTTTTAAAATAAACACAGTTTTGTTCATTATTTGGGAGAAACAAAATGTGAAATTAAATTTCACGTCTGTGCTGCATTATTTTCCTTTGCTAAACGATAAAGATGAAATTTCTTACCCAGCTTTTTACACGTTATCACAGGTTAAACAAATTATTAAAAAACTCTTATTAAATGCTATTTAAACTTTGTTAATAACAAATAACGAATGGTATGGGTTTTAAATCTTGTCCCTTATTCAAAACTTTCTCTGGAATAATTAAAAAATATCAAAGTTATATTCGATTTCATTCTGAAAGGAGAAATGACTGAATGATAAACAAACGAGAGAAATATAGGTAATACCATTTTTCCCAACCATGACATCAAGATTATTTTATATTTTGTTAAACGTGATTCGGTCCTCAATTATTATTTACATTGTGTAAATCAATTTCATATTTCCGAAATTGGTACAAAAGAAATATTTTCTCCATTTACTTTGGTTGTAAAAAAATATCCCGTTTTAGTACCACTGTACAATTTGATAAACTTTTTATAGAATCATTTTGTTTTCTCTCAGCGGGTACAGTGGCCTATACTACCCAAGTTCCTTTAACTTCACTTGTAATTTCGACAACCGTAACTGTGGTCTCCATATAGCATCCGGTATGGAATAACCGAACAATCTAAGATCACGATAGAAGAAAGCGATAAGGGACTTGAAGACATCGTTCGGGATGGTGCGGTAGTACTTTACCATGTTCTCATCGCTGGAACTGTCAGTGATTGGCTTTGCAGGATCAGTATCTGGGTACTTGAGCGAGGAATCGTTCGTCGCCGATCTTAAAAATGTCTCTGCATCCTCTTGCACGGTTTCGTACTTTCCGATGAAGTCGTAGTCGACCGTACATGGATGACATAACTCGTATTGAACGGTCCAGTGATCGTTTGGTGTTTTCTGCGCGATGACGAATCGAACAAACTCAACGAACGAATATGGTTGAGTCTTATTCCTCCCTTTCAGATATTTGGGATCGGTTGTGATAAACCACTGGGTAACAGAATGACAAAAGGGGCATTGCTTGCGATCCTGCGGATTCCTTCCATCCATCTTTTGGCGATAGGCCGACAGCAGGCGTGAAAAAGGATTGCGAACAAACAGAAAGTTAGTGTAGTCTTGGAGTTTCTTATTGGCCTCTGTCTGTTCCAGTTGGCCCGGTGTCTTGAAGGCAGAGTTGGATTCCTTATGCATACTTTTCTGACGGTCCTTGATATCGACGATGCCGTAGGCCACGAGGAAGAGTTGCTTCCAGCTAGTGCACCCTACCTTTGGCACATAGCAATACAGCAAGCGATACTTATCAATGACAAGGGTGTGCTGCATTGAGGCGAGTGCCTTTTTAGTCAGCTTGCGGTCTCTCGATGGATGTATGTTGAATAATTCGGAGCAAGCCTTACGTAGGACACTTTTGCGCACTTTCTGCCGATTTAGGACATCAATATGCAACTGTGCAATGAGAAATTAAACAAAAGAACGAAATAAACACAGGCTTTGTTTTATATTCCATTTCCCACTATCACATGGATTGAAGTCTTTTGTCTTCTTTGTGCATGGCTGATCGTCAACGAAACGGAGTTAAGTCTTTTGACAACTCTGCTTGTTGATACGGCAGGCAGCCAGTGAAAACGAATTCGTTTAATAAAATTATAGAATGCAAGCAGTACTTCAAACAAACTGAACTTTGCTATTCCTGGCTCATTTTTCCTGATCGAGTGGTCATAATAATTTATGAAAGGGCATGTACATGTACATAATAAAAAAACTTGTTATCAATGTAATTGTTATCATACCGTTCGCCAAATTATTTATTGGTACCCTTTCTTCAAATTGCTTTAAATCATTTATACGTAAAATATGCATCATATGAGTTGCATCAAATGAAAGAGGAGGATTTAAGCTTTAATGAGATGTGTCATTTATTGATTATATTAGTGATTAAGTTATGATAAAACATCGAGAATTCTCGGTTTAGTTTTTTCTTGGACGCACTGTAGCGTCGAATTGAGAAGCGCCATATATCCTGTCGCCATATCCTATGCAGAAAGCATCATGCACCTATAGATTATTGGAAATTACGGTATTTGCTTCGGTGAATTCACGTTGGTTGTAGAATTTACACTTTTGCACTCGCTTCAAATTGAATAGAGTGGTTAAGTGTGATGTCATCAAAAAAACATTTTTAGAATTTCTCAATGTTTACTTCATTTACTGAAAGAGCATCAAAAAGAATGTCCAAATGTCGAAAATTAATTGAATATGTTGAGTATTGACTGAGATATGATCATCTAAATAAATAGATTTCCTATAGGAACTCAGTGTTATTTTGCAATTTTTTTCTCAATGATTATTTTTACCTTCATTGTGTTGTTTGCTTTTTCGTCAAGTTCAGCTGGGCGATCGCTAACGACAGCTGGGTGATCTCCAACGACTGCACGGCGATCTTCAACGACAACAACAATTCCTTCCGATTCGTCATTTGTCTGATCATCATACTTCTGTATGATGCTGGGGAACATTGGACCCGAGTTGTCCGAGGCTACATGAAAGAAATATATTCAATTCATTTTAATTATATTCTGTTTGATTCAGATGAATTTATTCTTTTCAAATGACTACATAACTCTATTCTAATGATAACATCCAAAAAACGACAAAAACCCCAAATCGAAAAATTGGCCTCTGGAGTATGGGTTTTTTTAACACCTGCCGAAATTTTACCGATTTTTGCAGTGTAAATCGAAACTTCGGTCGGATGGCGGTTTTACGTCACGTGACTCTCCTCGCTTATGTACGATCGCACGCAGAGAAGCAACAAGTCGCTCATGCGCACTTCTCACCAAAAAAAAAAATCGGTATAAGCAAACACCAATGTATTTTATGGATTACAAATGCCTCCATCAAAATCTGTTGGATGCCCCTTTTCCGTTGAAAAATGCCCATTTCCCATTCTCATAAGTGTCTTTCTTCTTCCCTGGTGAATGCCTCTTTTTAGGTGTAAGAAGTGCCCCATTTTCATCTCTGATAATTACCCTTTAATTTTACTTTGACACGCCCTTCTTTTTTTCTTTTAATAATTAGTGTCTTATCCCTTTCGATAAGTGTCCCCTTTTGAACTCATAATTAAACGTGCTCCTAATTTAAAGCGACTATAATTGAACACTTTCCCCAAAGCTCACTCGCTCACACCTATATAGATGATATAATTATGTTACTTATCAAAGGTCTTTTCAGTCTTCCGTTATGTGATTAATCCTCTAACAGGACTTTTTTCGCACTGCGACCTCAAGAATCTGTAGATTGTGCTCGCTCGCCAATAATTATTCAGACCATCACACCCAACTGCAAAGTATGAAGCTTCAGCAATATATGATGTATAAAAAGAAACAAATATTGAAATCATCCCTTTGTAGGTGAGCTTTTTTGTTGACCCCCCCCCCCCCCAACCACCCCCACTTTGGAAGTCGGTCCGCCGCCCCTGGACACGTGTCATTCGCTGGAAGGGATAACTGATTTTTTTTTTTTAAAGGCGCATATCGGGCTATTGTACCCAACCTTTGAAACCACAATGGCACACCCCAAGTACACATCTCCAACAAATATTTTAAAAGTGATATGTAAATATTTGATTAACCAAACAATTCATGCGAAGTAGCATGTGAAATGCTTTGAAACTGCCTATTTTCCAAGGCCTATTATGTTAAAATACATTTTGGATTGGATTGAAAGAACGTGCCCCTGATGGAGGCTTATGGAGGCTTATTGCCATGACGACCTTCGTCATTGCCTTGTTTTCGTTCACATTCTGCCCCATTAATATTTGCAATGACGACCTTCGTCATTGCCTTGTTTTCGTTCACATTCTGCCCCATTAATATTCTTCTCCTGGTTTTCCTTATCCTTATCGTCAGGAAATCGCATTCATTTTGCACGTAGTGCGTGTTATTCCAAGTTTGGTGCTTTCCTCATGTTCTTTTCCTTTAATAATTTCATAGGCATAGTCTCTAACATCTCATCAAGGTCACTTCATTCTTCGATTTTCGAAATCACTCATGCATAACCGTCCAGGCACCATTTTGTCCGTTTCTGCTCCATTTTAAGGCTTTTCTTTCTTCCTTCCTATTTCCACTATCCTAGATCCTACAAACTTCTAACAAATTCCTCTAGATAGTCTAAGAGATGTTCTTTTATCTGCGACAAATAACCTGACCTTCAAAATGCCATATTCGTATTGCGCGCAGATAACAATGGTGTCAAACTGACCGCAATGAAGTGCCCTTTCGAATGATACCAAGTATGGTATATGTTCACACAGAAAATTGTGAGTAAATCGCATTTGAACAAGGGTGACTATACGACTTCCGCCGAGTTTCCGCCCGATTATAACACGTATCGGCCATGACGTCATTTTTTCAGACTGCTTTTCGCCCCCTTTAAATATATTTTTTTCCCTAAAAATTTGCAGTGACATTCCGAGTTGCAATACGCAGGGCACCTCGTAGCCGGATTTTAAAAATTTGTCAAGGAGGCCATTTAAGACGCAATTTTGTCCTATAAATCTATTTTGCATCACGTGTTTCGAAAAAAAAAAAAAGAGTGGTTTAAAATAACAACCATAAAATCCTCTTTCCAAACATACCAAATACGGCCCATAAAGAGACATAAAGAGAGAGAGAGAAAAAACAATTTAAAGCTTATCTGCCGTAGTTTACAGGAGGGATTAGACCGCTCTGCAAGGTCACTGGACAGGTGGTTATCTCATCAACTCAGCTCTCAGTTAACATAAGAAAAAGAGGATCATGGGGGACCAATGGTCACCGATTAGGCATTGTTTGTTATATAGAGGGCGCAAGTAGCTACCAGTAGTGCAGTGGGCCTTTAACTCCGGTCATAATACAGATCTTGTACGTTTTCCGCCTATGCATTACACGCATTGTGTACGGGGCAAATCGGGTTCACGCTTTTGGCCCCCAGAACGATCTTTATTTCAATGAAGAACCTGCACCAAATCCCATTGGTTTTTGCACGCAGTGCTTGCGAACCCTTTCTAGGTTCTTTCCCCTATCCCAATTTCTTTCAAAATTCGTAGTCGTAGTCACTACCATCCCATCAAGGTCACTGTTGAGGCCTTTCATCGCCCTACCTATCTCCAATATCACAGAAGCTACATAGTACGAAGTTGATCAAAATCATCAACATATTGCGTTACCATCACTACTTCATTTGTCTCGGAATTTAGTGTAATAGGTTTAACAGTCAATTTAGTAGATTGAGCGCTTTAATTGTTGTTATCTTTTCCCAAAGACATAATACAAACCGACATCGTGGTGTCTAATTTAAGCACGTCCTACATGTACTTTGGATCCGGAAGCAGCTCATTTCTAATGTAAAGGAATTAATTTTCATGAAAGTTCACTTGACTATATTATGAACAGGCTTCAAAATATATATTTATTACATAATATATTATATATGTGCATGGCTCAGATCAAGGGTACACTTAGATTGAACACTGGGAAATTGTTCAATTATCCAAAACCATGAGACCCAGACACAAATTAGCATTTTTGTATTAGAAAGTACCATTGGGGGAAGCTCCAAACAAGTTTTTAGCTTCATTGAGTTCAAATTAAAGATTTTAGAGCAATTTTATGATGAAAAAGGCCTATTTTTAGCACTTTTAATGTTACATTAAAACATGCACTAATGGGTTACCATATTTTTACTAATGGGATGCAAAACTTGTGATTTTTTTTATCTTGATGTAAAATCTATGTAATAATTAACATTTCTGTTGAGTTAATTCCTATTATTTTACTTTCTTATTCCATTTACACGTGATACAATTTTTGTAATATGTACATAACTTTGGTGTCCTGCAAATTTTCAAATCTTACTAACTGAAGAATGGTGTATAAATAATTGATTTATTTACAAGCTTGCTTATAATGTTTAGTTTCACTTTATCTTTGATTTCCAATCAGATCATTTCATTCTGGGTCATATTTTTAAAAATAATCAGATTTCTGTAAATGGAAAATGTTTGGTGTCCTTCAGTTATGTACATATATGTACATGTACATACCATGCAACAGAATCTATACAAAAACATATTGTATTCTTTCAAAATGATAATGCAATGGTGTATATAGGTGAATGAAGAGCACTGATAACATTGGATTCCCCATTTTAACTTGTATGTGTGATTTAATCAACAATGAGTGGACACCAAGTTATGTACGTGACAAGTTATGTACGTACACCATGTTTTTTTTTCTTCAATAAGACCACCTATATTTTGTTATTTGTTATGGTAAGGTAGTAAACAATGTATAAGACATACACAATAATGTCTGATTTGGTGAGAAGAATATTACAAAATATTGCAGTTTGAGCTTTTTCATGTCATTTACATAACTAAGACACCGTAACGGTTATGAAAAGACACCGAGTTATGTACGTTACTGCCAATCAAAATTTGAAATAAATTTTCATAATGAATCAATTTATTTCTTTCAGCATGAATTGCACCCTTGTGCATTTTCATTTAAACAAACATGAATTTAAGGAACCAGAATTAAAATTTGAATGTAAAACCACTTACTTTTGGTGTCCACAGTTATGTACGATTAAGTACAGAAATCTTACATTTCAGTCCTGAAATAGTAGTTTACAAACTATTTACACATTGCAAATTATGTTTCATTCAGGAAACACATCATTCCTTCAATTGAAGTCGTTATTAGACTAATGCAAAACCATATCTGACAATAAGGCAAAGAGAAAGCATCTACAAGTGAGTGTAGATAATAAGATGTACTGTACATAACTCGATGTCCACATTTGTTTTTGAAAAAAGTTGATATGGCAATGGTTTTAAGTTTTGTTTACGGTTTGTTTTAACATCTAATGTACTTTGTCAGAAAAAATTAAATTATAAGAGAAATATCAGCATGAAGTGGACACCGAGTAATATGTACGTAACATTTTTGATGATGTGATATTTGGCTACTGATTGCCGTTTAACGGCAATTTGGTAAGGTCTGATTTTGTAGCTGTGTGTTGCATAATGTTTGCAGATTGCAAAAATAATGTTGCCACAGTCTATAATTGACTTTTAAAAATTCACCTCATATGTAACACTTTTGTGCCCTTGATCGGAGCCATGCACATATATATATATATATATATATATATATATATATAAATTTGTGTTGTTAATACCATAACCGCACATGCATATTGTTAAGAAACGTAGTACATCATTGAATTCGTGACTAAAAATTATCTTGGTTGCTCACATTGGAGTATGATACGCAAATAGAATGGCGCAAAGAGTGAGAAAAGAAAGACAAATAAAGGAGATTAACAAAGGGTGAGGGGTGAGGGGGTAAAAAGAGGATAGTACGACCACTCCCACACCTATACCCCTTTTCGTTTAACTTGTTAATTATTATAGTACTGTTCATCAAGTTGGACTGATAGGCCTGGTCCATGATACAAATCACGTGACCCCTAAGTTGCAGCTGACCTCAGCCACTTTACTATTATAGTGCGGCACTATAATTTTGTTCTATTTGGTTTCAGGTCGTGGCAGCCACGTCCTGAAACCAAATAGAAAAAAATAACAGCTAATTTATCAAATGCAATGTATATGGATGGTAACATATTTTTATTTTTTTAATTGAAAACAAAATGTTTTCTGTAAATCCGGTAATTTATGAATGTGAAATGATGGAAGAAGACACTGAAGCAAATTTATGTAAAATTTAAAATCTCCCACTAAAAAACTACCAAAATTGAGCTGTTTAATTATAGAGCTGTGTGCCGAAGCTTACTTACCGGGCCGGTGCTTGATGTAGAGAAAGACATTTAAAACAAAGGATGTGGCGAATACCAAAATAATAGTTGACCGCATTATCAACTTCATCTCCTGTAGACAAAATTATTACAGCTGTTACTTCGAATTCATTTACGCAAGCTTACATTAAAATATCAACAAAAATCCACCTTGATCAGTGCAATAGAGAGCACCATTGTATTGTAAACGGATGGCTGCATGCACGGTTTGCAAACTTATTTCCGTTAATTTTGTGCCTGATTAAAGATGTTCAACAATTCGATGATTTAAATTTGGCCCAATTAGCTTAGGCTAAGGATCGAGATTCACCAAAAGAGCATGGATGTCGTTCACGAAACTTTCGCTGAAGACTAGGAAAATGCGAACGAAGTAGGACCATTTGTAGAAAACTTCAGAACAATAACTTATCGGTGACGTCCAGAAAAAAAAATGCAAATATTGATATCAAATATTACTCTCTTTGTATGTCAAACAATTTCCTAGACGACGTCACGACGTTGGCGATACCAACTCGGGGGCGTAAATCCATACCGAGGAGTGGGGGGATGATTAGTCCAGATTCTGGCCAACACTACCTCTCCTACTTACTTGCTACCAGCCGATGATGGCGATGGCGAAAAAATAGTCCAGACAAAAACCTAGCGACCTTGCCACAGGGTCAAAAAATCAAGCCTTATTACGTAATTTTGATAGCGCCCAATTTATGTACCGCTGTGTACTGTGTGACATATTCGAACTCCCCTAGTAGTCCTGTAAAAGTTTTTCAGACCTGGAAAAGTTGATAAGTACAAGTTTTTTTTTTTTTGTTTTGTGTTCCAGATGGGTATTGAAGTAAATTCAGCTTGGTTGCCAGCTTGGCAACCTTGAGCAACTTTTTTTAATAGCCATATTAGCATAATCATCTAATTAGCATATGTGCAATATGTAATAATGTTGCTAATCTCAATCCAGGAAGCCTGAAAACATGGATAATACGACTTTTCAAGGGTTTTCTATGACGAGGAATTCATTTATGAGTAGACACCAGTTTTTGATTCCAAGTAATGCAATTGTCTTAAACAGCATAATTAGCATAATTATGTACAATGTATGGACTTCATTATCATTGTTTATCTATAAGCCTAAAAATGGTGCAATGCAACATTGTAAATCACTTTTGAAAGACTAATCATTAATTCATGAGAAGATATTCCATGTATATGTAGTATAATCAGCCTAATTAGCATAATATTTTGATTAGCATATGTGCGATATGTAATAATGTTGCTAATCTCAATCTAGGAAGCCTGAAAATATGGATAATAGGACTTTTCAATGGTTTTCTATGATGAGGAATTCATTTATGACACCAGTTTTTTTATTCCAAGTTATTTATTGTCTTTAATAGCATAAATAACATATATGTACAATGTATGGACTTCATTGTCATTGTTTATCTATAAAGCCTAAAAATGGTGCAATTTTAGAAGATAGGACATGTATATGTAGTATAATTAGCATAGTAATCTAATTAGCATATATGTGCAATATGTAATAATGTTGTTGTCAGACCCTTTTTATTAACAAGATATATTCTGTTTTTGAGTAAACCTATATTGCTTTAAATTGTTACACCCCTCTTTGAATTGTCCATTAAACCTTTTTTAGGTTTCGACCACCTAGCTGGTATATGCCACTGGCAGGGGCGTACGTAGGGGGGGGGGTTTGGGGGGTTCAAATCCCCCCTTTGGTATTTTTATGTGTGTAAACCCCCCTAACAAAAATAACCCCCCCCCTTTGTTTGTTTTGTTTTGTTTTGTTTTTGTTTGTTTTTTAATTTAAAAAAAAAATAAATAAATAAATTATGCCCACGGCTAACGTAAAGTGACCTTACCCCACCCCCCCCCCCCCCCCCCCCCCCCCCCTGAGCGACTTTTCGGTTGACTGAGTCGTTGCGATTTTTTTTTTTGGACTACCAAAAAAAAAAAAAAGTGTCCGCTTACCCCCCCCCGCAGCTTTTTAAGACCTGGCTTGGTTTTGTTTCTTAACAGAGTTCCACCATGGTTCCACCATGGTTCCACTTCCATTTCCCTCGGGACAAGAGTTGGGACTGCTGTCATTGTTCAGGCAACGCTCTCCGCCTGATCGATGTATTTAGTGCTTATTGACGAACGACTTGTGTTTTATCATTTGTACTTTATATGAACATTCTATTCTTTTCTTCTATTCTTTGATATTTTTCTAGTGTACAGTGTAGTTTACTTTGCTCTTTCGCTATCATTCATTGTATACCTGTACCACATATTGTAAAGCTTTGCATGTAAGCTATTTTTGTAATGATTCTTGTTTGTTGTTTGAATCATTGATGCCAGCCAGTTGTCACACTGGGAATTTATTATCGGTGTACCTTTGACACTGAATACTAATAAATACCTCTTTGGAATCTTTGGCACAATATATGTTTTAGACTTATGTATTTTAATGGATCTCCGTGGTTACTAATCTTAATTAATTGAACCGGCGCAGGCATATAAGGCCTGTGTAACATTGGTAATCTTAATCCAGGAAGCCTGAAAACATGGATAACATGAATTTTCCAGGGATTCTGCCACAAGCTTGAGCAACGTCGGGCTTGTACTATCAAGGGTTCTGGCTTTAGTAAACTTCAACATCCCTGGCCTATGTACGTATCTGTCTCACCACATCATCAATTCCATCATTATCATCTGCTTTAACCATTTTCAGTGTGCTTCCGAAAGTCTCTCTAAATCCAATGACTGAAGCCTAACCATCAATGCGTATGATGACCCCGTCATTTCCTAGACATTTCATGAGGTTCGACAACATTGCCTTATAACCCCCACTGTACACTTGACATACAATTTGTGAAGTTGAATAGAGTCCCAAATAATTGATATTCTACAAATGTGCTAATTAGGCTTATTATACAATAATTACACATTAAGCCAATTGCATTACTTAACATAAAAACTGGTGTCACATAATGAATCCCTCGTCGTGGAAAACCCTGGAAAAGTCATATTATCCATGTTTTCAGTCTTCCTGGATTAAGATTAGCAACATTATTACATATTGCACATACAGTGTAAATGCTAATTAAGCTCATTATACTACATCTACAGTGAATATCTTCTCATGAATCAATGTGTAGTCTTTCAAAAGTGATTTAAAATGTTGCATCACCAGTTTTAGGCTTTATAGATAAACAATGACGATGAAGTCCATATGCTAATTGGCTCATTATGCTATTTAAGACAATTGCAAGTTTAAAATAAATAATAGTGACATAAATGAATTCCTCGTCATGGAAAATCGTTGAAAAGTCACATTATCCATGTTTTTAGGCTTCCTGGATTAAGATTCAATCCAATTCAATTCAATTCAAATTTATTGGTCCAGAAGGAAATTCGTTTCGTTTACATGCACTGTTCACAGAGAAAAATAAATAAAATGTAAATGGGACATGATAAATACAACATAAAACGAGTATATAGAGAAAATAAACATATAGCCCATTATATAGATATTTTCTCTGATTTGTTCATGTATTTAGAGTAATTACCAAAACAATATAACATTGTAAATATTATTATTATTATCATTATCAATATTACTATTACTATTATTACTATTATTATTTGTATTGTTATTATTATTAGTTTGACTCATTATATCATCATGATAATAGAATATAAAAAGGAAAACATTAACCACAAACAGTTTAACAATCAAAGAGATTTATCATAGTTATTTTCTATATGGTGGAAAAATAACCATGTATATATCCTGATATTCCGATAGATCCACAACAATTATTGTCCCTATACATGAAACCTAAATATGGGTGCACTCAGTGCAGTATGTATAAAATATGAATACCTATTGAAGGCAGTATGAGATCAGTATTAATAAACATGCAATATATTACGACATGTGAGTATAAATAGAAAAGAGACTTTTTCATTTAATTTGAGAAAGAGATGGCTATTGTAAGAAATTAAATATACGTGTGCTATAATAAATACAGATATATTTTTGATAATTTCCTACAATCAAATAGAACAGAATAGGATACAAGTGATACATTTTTTACATTTTATATATCATTCAGCAGACGGATTGAGTACGGAACAAAAGAGTTCTGGGGGGCGTTTCATGAAACAATCAGTCGGTGGTTTTCACCGACTAATATCATGTTCACCGCCAATTTAGTCAGCGCCGGCTAAATTTGACCAATCACAGGCCTGGAAAATAGTCGGTGACAAAAGAATTGTCGGTGAACATGATATTAGTCGGTGAAAACCGCCGACTAATTGTTTCATGAAACACTCCCCAGGTATCTCGAAGTGCGGGATTTCTTTGACTGCCACCTTTTACCACTTCTTAACTTGACATAATTACCATTCAGGGGGTGACTGGAATCCCTTGACAGCTTGACAGCCGTTACCACTGCTTTGTTTCTGCAAACCTCATCAAAATCCATTGGTCTATCTATTATTTTGGCTGCTTGTTTGACAATGGTTTTGAGTTTTCCTTGATCTTTCTTTCTAGCACTATTGTACCACACTACAGAGTCATATGTCATTATACTTTCAACTACGGATCGATAAAAGAGTGACAATATGGTCCTATCAACATGGTATGAACGCAGCTTGCGCAGAAAGTGCATTCGCTGGCTCCCTTTTGTTGCGAGGGCTTTTGTATGCCCACTCCAGACCAGTTCTTTGTCAATGTTTGTACCCAAATATTTGTATGAAGTAACAATTTCAATATCTTGCCCTTTAATGCTTACAGGGTGGTCACTTGGTTTGCTTTCTACTTTGGTCCTGAAATCAAATAGGATCTCTTTAGTTTTCTGCACATTCAGTTCTAGATAGTTTTCCACACACCATGAGCTGAAGTTTTGTACACAATCTCTGTAATCATTTTCATCATTTTTAATCAGCCCTAAGATGGCAGTATCGTCTGCATACTTGAAACAGGTCTCACCTCCCTGCTTGAAAGTATGAACATTGTTAAAATGGGATAGAAGTCATTGGTATATAGAATGAAAATAATTGGAGAAAGTACACAGCCCTGGGGTGATCCAGTGTTGGTGTGCAGTGGTTCGGACAAAATGTTGTTTACTCTCACTTTCTGGCTTCTCGTGAGGAGAAAGTCCGTTATCCACAGAATAAGAGACGGCTTCACTTTCAGATGCAACAGCTTCTCTATAAGACGGTGCGGTTGTATCGTATTGAAGGCTGATGAAAAGTCAACGAACAATGCCCTTGCGTAACGTCTCGGTGTGTCCAAATGTTCTTGTCATGTATAGCCCTGCCATATGCACAGATTCCTAACTATACTTCACTGCACGAAACGCTTTCATGTAGCGTTCGGCAGGATTCAACGTTGTTTATTTGCAAGACCCTAACACAAAGTTATAAGCGTCATTTCTAAAGAAGTGCACTGGAAATTGATAAATATTGAAAAATATATCACTTTGAATAATAATTGTGCATTATTGTTGTCATTTTAAATATATATTGTTTAGATTTCAAATCAATATTTCAACTTTTTGGTGAAATTATCAACAACAAAAAATCGTATTTTGTTAATAATATTTTAAGGGAACCTTGAACCACCATGAGTTTCGTGTCATATTAGAGTACAAGTATTGGAGTAGATCAAATTATCTACATTTTGATACCAATCTCAACGGAATTGAAATTAATTAACATCGCAATTTTAAGTAAAAGAACATGATTTTGGGGTAATTTTTCCCCCAAAATTGCATTATATCCAAAAACGTTATTACCCACATATCAAGATTCGAAGTGCCTAATTCTTTCATAAGTTTCCAGGAAATTTCTCATATACAATGACAATATCTTGCGCAAACGAAATAAACTTGTATTTCTTTTCAGTGAAATGTTATAGCAACCCAAAAATATTGAATTGATTTCCACAAAAATATTTTTTTTTTTTTTTTTGTGGCTGTTGTTTAACTTGTATTCATGTCGATCGGCGTGATCGGTAATTTGTTTAAATCAAGTTTTATAGATAAAATTTAGGTAAAACCTAAAATCCCCATCATTGGTTTCGTGTCATTTGATGGATATATTTAAAACCCCTTCAAGTTTATATCAATTTCACTGAGTTATTAATTAGTTTACGTGTAAAATATTAATTTTTAGCCGAAACTTGTGCCGAAAAAGTTTGTTTCCCCTTATTTGTTGGCCATTTTAGTTAGTAATGCAGACAATTCAAAGGATTAGGAGTGTTGAATGCAATTTATAAGTACTTCAATACTTTGGGATGTTTCAGGAAATGGGGGCATAGAGGCAGTCCCCCCCCCCCCCCCCCACACACACACCAGTGGCGGATCCAGGAATTTCTTACCGGGGGGGGGGGCACAAAATCGCATGGGGTGAAATATATGAAAAACGATGGAGCGAGGCGTCAGCGGCGAGGGAGCGGAGCGACTAAGCGGGGGTGGGTCTAGGAGGGGGTCAGAACCCCCTCCCTGAGTATAGGAAGCATTTGCAATTTTAGAACCACATAAGGTGCATTTTCAGGCACTTCCTGGAGTAATATGACGTAAAATTGCTTTTTCCTACCCCCTCAAAGAGTAGGGATCCAGGGGCGGATGATGGGATCTGGCTTTCTGCTAAGGGGGGGGGGGGTGACCCAATGACGACAAGGAGCATCGTCCACGAGCCGCGTAGCGGCGAGGCTATTTTTTTGTTGTTGCTATTTTGAACCCCCGTAAGTGATGTTTTCCTGGCATCTACTGACACAATGGAGACCATAAAAAGCAGTGCATGATAATTACGTCTTTTTAAATCAAGTAACAGTTTAAGGGGGATCGACCCAAAGACGATGCAGAGCATTGTCCACGAGCCGCGTAGCGGCGAGGCGATTTTTGGGGGTGCTATTTTGAACCCCCGTAAGTGATGTTTTCCTGGCATCTATAGACTAACACAATGGAGACCATAAAAGCAGTGCATGATATCGTCTTTTTAAATCAAGTAACAGTTTAAGGGGGGTTCGACCCAATGACGACACGGAGCATCGTCCACGAGTCGCGTAGCGGCGAGGCTATTTTGTTGTTGTTGCTATTTTGAACCCCCGTAAGTGATGTTTTCCTGGCATCTACTAACACAATGGAGACCATAAAAAGCAGTGCACGATAACGTCTTTTTAAATCTAGTAACAGTTTAAGGGGGGTTTGTCCCGATGACAATACGGATACTATGTGGGTCTGGACAAATGATGGCGTTTTTCTATTCACATCACATTTTCACTTGGCAGCCCAAGGGGGGGGGGGGTTAAACCATCTAACCCCTCCCCCACCCCCACAGATCCGCCACTGGGATCTTTTGCAAACTGGAAGCAATTAGCATTACATGTAGGTGATGGAAAAAAGTGCTTGCGAAAGGGATAGAAACTTCGCGGCCACAGGGATGACAGAAAATAATATGACAATGAAACCAGCGACTAATGGCGGGGACAATCTGCATGCTGAAAGAGCACTTAGAATAGGTATATCGGAAATTTAATTCAAGACTAAGTTATAGGTTATAAGTTAGAAGTTATAAAGGAGATAAAAATCTTTGGTATTAGTCATGTTCGACTTAAAATTGCATGCCCCCCCCCCGCCCCTTACCCGGTAAAAAAAAAACACCTTCTTATAATATCATACCCCTTTCTTTCTTTTCCCTTCTCATTATTCTCCTTTTTCCCCTTTTCTCTCCTCCGTCTTTCCGCCTCTCTTCTTTTTCCGCCTTTTCTCTCCTCTCTTTTTCCCTTTCCCCTCCTTTTTCTCCTCTCCCCTTTTCTTTCGTTCCTCTTTTCTTCTTCTTTCTCTCTTCACACACACACACGCACCACACACACACACACACACACACACACACCCACACTCTTTATTTTGAGTCCCACCACTTAGAAAATGATGTATAATGGTCAGGGGCGTCGCTAGACCTTTTTTAGTGGGGGGGGGGGGGGGGTTTGGGCCAACGATTACCGACAAAACTAACCTCCAATTATTTCGTCAACTTAGTCAGCATCATAGCTATGTATTTTAATGCAGGCGCGGAGCTAGGATCTATTTAGGGATCGAGGGCCGGTAGTGAGCAGGCGAATCACTCAAAGAGTGCGCGAAGCGCGAAAGCTTAGACGTTTCCTTAAATTATTAGGAAAAGAAGACGATTTTATTGTACCGTTCTCGACTCTTAACCCTTGTCTGAATGAATTCCCCCTCCTCCCCCCCCCCCCCCGCCTCTCCCGCGCGTAGCGCGAAAGCTTTGGCGTTTCATTAAATTATTATAAAAAGAAGACGAATTGCTGTACCGTTCTCGACTGTTAATCCTTGTCTAAATTCAGTTCCCCCCCCCCCCCCCCCCCCCCTCCCGCGCGGAAATTTTGGCGTTTCATTAAATTATTATTAGAGAAAGTAGACAATTCGTTGAACCGTGCTCGACTCTTAATCCTTGTATGAATTCAGTTTCTCTCTCTCTCTCCCGCGCGAAGCGCGGAAGCTTTGACATTTCATTAAATTATTAGAGAAAGTAGACGATTTGTTAAACCGTGCTCGACTCTTAATCTTTGTCTAAATTCGGTTTACCCCTTCCGCACAAAGCGCGGAAGTTTTGACGTTTCATTAAATTATTAGAGAAAGCAGACGATTGGGTGTACTATTCTCGACTCTTAATCCTTGTCTGAATTCAGTTTCCCCCTTCCCGCGCGAAGCGCGAAAAGCTTAGACGTTTGATTTAACTATTATAGAAAGAAGACGATTCGTTGCACCGTTTTTGGCTCTTATTAAGCCCTATTTATCTGAATTCATTTCATGCCATTTTGAAAAGTAAAAATATTTACCTCGATCGACTAGAGCTCATCTGAAAATTGAGGGGGGGTGTACATTTAGCAGTGTTCTGGATTTGGGGGGGGGGGTCTCCAAGGCAGGAAAAGCCAGCGAAAAGCCGGCGAAAGGGGGATTCAGAAATTTTGGCAGTCCTGAGATAGGGGGGGGGCTGTGCTTTCAAAGGGAGGGAACGAGCATACGCGTACCCTAAATAACACTGAGCGGGGGGGGGGGGGGGAGCCAGGCATCTACTGTCCATGATTGCACTTTTAAGCGCTCGCGCGCTGGCGTACTTTACGTCTGGGCTATAATAATACCTTGCAAAATAACGAAAAATTATTCTGAAGTTTATGAAGTGCTTGTTCGCGCACGTCGTGCAACTACTTTTAATGATCGTGACATACTGTATACGTGTAGGCTATACAGTTATACATACATACAAAAAATAACTCATTTCTCATGCATTATGCTGAAATTGAAACAATCATATTTTTTTTCTTCTTCTTCTTCCTTTTTGTTCTCTCTTTTTTTTTGTAATAATTATCAGGGGGGATGATTGTACAGGCCATCCCCCCTACTTCAAGCCAGGGGGGATGCAGCCCCCCCCCCCCACCCCCCGGGATTTACGCCCCTGCAATGTACATTAATTGTCCCATAGTTATTCCGAGCCTGATGATAATGATAATCACGAAATCACGAAATACTGTCTTCTTTACAAAGGCTCTCTATAAGTTACGGGATCAGTGGATAGCCTTGGAGTGGTTTAAGAACTATACCTCCACAACAGAAAGCAATACCTACTCATAGACGATGCACATTGTTCTATAAAGACCATTGAATGTGGCATGCCTCAATGTTCTATTTTAGGTCCATTACTTTTTATTGTATAAATGATTTTTACATGTCCTCAACAACCCTGTCCTTCAGTTTGTTTGCTGACGAATCTAACATGTTCTTTTCTCATCAAGACCATGTAGAGGTGTCGTGGATGAGTGGATACATCGCCGGACTGTCGATCACAAGGTCCGCGGTTCGAGTCCCGCCGCGGCACTAATGTCCTTTGGCAAGACATTGATCTATATTTGCCACTCTCCACCCAGGTGTTAAATGGGTACCGGTAGGAAGGATTTCCTTAAAATCCTGTGAGCGTCAAAATCGGCAGCCTAGCCATAGCCGGGTAATGTAGGACCTTGCAAGGTCGATACGTGCGCTATATAAGAATCCAATATTATTATTATTATTAAATTGAACTGAGAACGATCACGAGTAGTTGCTGACTGGATCAACACAAATAAGTTGTCATTGAATATACAAAATAAGCAATAATTATTATATGCTCTTTAGTAAAAGCATTGATAACAATTGGGAAAAACTGATCTGATCGATATACCAGAATACTTCCCAAGTGTATTATTATCATTTAATTAAATTTCAGGTGAATGTAAATCGTCACAAAGCAATGATTTGGCTTTATATACCATTCCAAACATTGTTTAAGCCTGTTTTATGTCTTCTTTTCATGGAAAACGGTGGGAAAATGCTCCTTTTATCATTATTAATTATGAGCGCATTTCTCATCCAATGTTGCATTTGATAAGAAAGACGGATTATTATGACCATTAATGCACAAAATATTTGTATAGAGGCGAATCTTCATGGCTACTACTACTATTCGTAAATTCCATCTGAAATATGCCTTTTCACGCTGAACTTGTTTAAAACCCGAATTCATTGGTCAACTAAAACGAGTTGAATGAGCTGAACGAAGCCCTAGTTCTAACCTTAACCCTAACCCTAACTCTTATCCTAACAATATTCTCAATAAAATGCTACCCCACCCCTTTATCATGTCTAACTGAAGAATGATAATGGATGCATGTAGTTCAAAGTTAGAGGTTTAGGTTGTTTAGGAATACCTTGATATGGATAAGTTTAAAGTTTTAATATCATTATTATTACAGAGAATACTATGCTTATTTTATTGGGTTTAGGGCTGGGGAATAGAATTTGGTTTTATAGTTAATTTGTGTTTACCGTCTGATTTAGGGTCGGTGTTTATGAGTAGACTATACTGTAGGTAAGGGACTAATTGGTTATGGGTTAGGTAAGTTTGTCGGTTTATGACTATGTTTAGGGTGTTGGCCTTTAAAGTTACAGTGTGGATAGGTTTGGGGTCAAGATTAGAGATTAGGTTTATATTTGATTTGAAGGCGATGTTTGGTAAAATGGCACATAAAACTTCAATAGGGTAAGTGTCAAGAGAAAACGAAGAAAAGCAGAAGACGACTAAATTCAAAAGAAAAGGGGGAAATGAAATGAAAAAGAATTATATTATGCAGATTTTGCACTATGCAGCAAATATAAACATTTGATAATCTTTAAATTAATTCATTGTGCCACTCTTGTTTATGACGATCGATGAAAAAGCGGAAAAGTGCAAATTGTAGCATCTGTTATAAAAACAGAAGTTTACATGTACTTTTTAGATATCAGAATAAACTTTTGTTATACAATATCGTTCATGATTTGCGACTTTTCCCTAAAAATGAATCCCCGAAATTAAAAAGAAAAGGTAAAGTGAGGAAAAATAATTGTGACGGTCTGATTCAGTTTCTACTGGTAAAACCGCACCCCTGCTCAAAGTGGGAAAAGCCCTCTATTGACTCTTTCAATTTGCAAATAAATAAACAAAACTACGAACAGTCGCTTTTAATCTCATTCTGCATGCATGCTCTATAGGATTTATTTTTAAATCTTTCATGTACTGTAGGTAGGGACCAATCGATGTGGATTTAAAATTAATCTTCGCTAGGATTAAAAAGTTTTAATCTGTAAATGAATAAAAAATAAGTTCAAAAGATTTATATTATAAATCTTTCTAGATTAAAATTAACCCTGATAAAGATTTAAAAGCAATCCTTTTTGGGACTTCTTTTTTTTTATATTTGAAACTCGGATTAAGAACCAGTTTAGCAATCTTTTAAGATTAAAAATCAATCTTTATGGATTTAATTTCATTCAAATCCTGCTTAAGATTTAAATTTTAAATCCCTGTAATTTAGAGGCCCGTCCACTATTTCAAGCGTCTTCGTGACCTTTTTATTCATTTTGTATAGTAAAGGCAATTATTGCAAAGTGGAAAGAAAATTGATATCTACAGTTTTATTGCCAGTAATTAATGTACCGGAGGATCGAATAGGAGAAGTCGAAGAAAAAGAAGAAGATGATGAAAAATAGAGAACAATTTTATTAAAGGAGAAGAAGAAGAAGAAGAAGAAGAAGAAGAAGAAGAAGAAGAAGAAGAAGAAGAAGAAGAAGAAGAAGAAGAAGAAGAAGAAGAAGAAGAAGAAGAAGAAGAAGAAAGAAGAAGAAGAAGAAGAAGAAGGAGAAGAAGAAGAAGAAGAAGAAGGAAGAAGAAGAAGAAGAAGAAGAAGAAGAAGAAGAAGAAGAAGAAGAAGAGAAGACGAAGAAAAAGAATATGCTGAAGAAGAAGAAGAAGAAGATCATATTTAAAGTCAAATTCTAAATGAACCAGAACATAAATTCTCAACTAATTATAGCTTAATTGACACCAAATAAACGAGGAACATGGGAAATATTGAATAACTGAGGCAACTTTTGAGAGAGATAGACACTTTTTGAAGCTTCGCTGGCTCAAAAAAGAAGAAGAATCTGACAAGTATAGGCAACCCCCCCCCCCCCCCCCCCCCCCCACTCCGGGGTCGGAATGATGCATGCGTGTTACCAAAATGTCCGGTAAAGGGGTACTTTTCGTGCGACAGAGTCCGGCCCGAGATTGTAAAAAAAAAAGGTAGTATTTGACTTTTCACCCGGAGATTTTTTTGAAAAGGGGGTGTTTTTTCCTTTTTTCTCTCATCTCTTTGGACTCCTGAGAAATTATTTCCGAATTTAGGGTGGTACATTGAGCATTTTTCTGTATATTTAGGGGGGTCTCCACTGAGGCAGGAAAAGCCCGCGAAAGGGGGTTCGGAAATGTTGGCAGTCCTCAGATAGGGGTGCTTTCAAAAAGAGGGAACAAGCATACGCGTACCCTAAATAACACTGAGTTTTTTTTTGGGGGGGGGGGGCGTTTAGATATTCGGACGTATTCGGGCAAAGGGCGAAAAGGTAATAGGGCACACCGATGGCACACCCATTCATATGGGCCCGGTATCTCTGCAGCGCATACTGGCTGCGGAAAAGTTCGTACTGTGATTGCGCGCGTTACGCGTACGCGTTTTTTCATGTTGTTTTCGCCATGTTGGGCTAGGCGATAGCTTCCGGGGATACGTATTCCACCGATGGTTATCTGATATTTCATCCAAAACAAGATAATTGGTAAGTTTAACAAATCTAAATATTTGCCGATATTTTGTAGGATATCTATTATTGTTGCTTTTTTCTTCAAAACAATTGTCGATACATGTGGAAGAGAAAGTATTTCCATCATTCATCTATAAATAATGAGAGGAGTCCCAGACGTTGTATTTTGTGTGGGGTTGGACTCGGTGGTCGGTCATTCTCACTCGGGTCGTCGGCCGTTTAGCGCTAGCGTCCCTGATATCGACGGTTGTTCCGCTTAGACTTCTTCTGGCTCCACTGACCAAAGATTGTGTTAAAAATTGTTGAACTGATTATTGACACAAAGAAATGAGAGTGATCAATGCTCACTGATATTTGTTAGGTCTAGACCTAAATAATGAATCTTTTTTTTTTTTTTTTTAAGAAGATGGCCGTGTCATTAGAAATTGCAAAAACGAAGGTTTCCAGATCTATCATCTGCATCTAGCCACTCCAGCAAAGCATAGAGTCAATGCTAATGCGTATCGACCTCTAACTTAGCGCTGTAGTACGTGCTGAGTGGCAGCAATTGCACACAATGCACACAATTGTACACTAATGCACACAATGAATACGAAGTGGCTGATCGGCAAATTTGACCGTAGATCTAGACTCACGATTTGAATTTTCAAAGTATTTTTTGTAACATCGGTAAGTTGAAAAGATTTTATTTTACTCTTTTTTAGGTGTCATCAATTGTCACTAAAGTACTGATTTTGAGTAAACTCAATTGAGTTTTGAACAGTGGTGTTTGAAATGTTGAGAATCAATAGAAGTCGTCTAAACAGTCTTTAATACACAGCCAAGATAGTAATTCAGCTACGTATGTGTAGTGTTTTCATATAACCGCCAATTTGCCTTTGTACTTTTTCTCTTGTCAACAACATTTTTGCCGTAGTTAAGTGTAGCACCTGGTCTTAACATTCGTCGTGACCATGGTTTGTTTTTCTGTTCATGCACTTGTTTGTCTAACATGTCATCGTAAGTAAATAAATAAATTAGCAAAATAGTATACCCAGACGGTGTGTCCGGACAGGTTGTGTATCTGGACAGTTTGAAGCAATTTGAAGAAGTTGATGAGCAATACATCTTAAATCTTTTAAGACTTAAGTTTAATGTTAGACAATATTATTATTATAATAGTGCGACGGCTGACACAATGCGCTTGCTCGCTTCGTTATTCTAGTTATTTATGTAAAATACAAATGTAATCATTTTATCATTATTTGTAATGTTCGTTTACCAGCTGAGCACCCATTGTACAATAATTTAAGTACGTGTACTTTTGTCTACAATAAGAAAGGGAGGGCAAATATAAACAGCACCACCGCATATTTCTTTATTATTTCCCTTTTTATTTGGATTCATTTTGATTGGTCACTATTTATATCTGTCCTCCATTCATTACCACAAACTATTTTACTGGGGCCTACAGCTTTACAAGCTCGCTTTCATGTAGGTCCCATCATATTTCTCTCAATTAAATCAGTACTCTATGTTGACCATTAATCTTTATGTTATTTATGATGTACATGTACATGTATTATTGATTGTTATGTTATCACACAAAAAATGACTTGTACTTTATTTTGAAATGTATATGTAACATGAGAAATATGAATATAAATGAAAGAAAAAATTATCCAGGACAAATATACATTGTGGTTTAAATTTTAATACTAATAGTGATATTTGATTATTATTTTTTTGTACAATTACAATCCGAAGGCAAAAGAGAAAGCTTTATTTTTTGTTAAATGTCCAGACACCCAACCACCTTTCATACACTGTACATGTTAGGTGTAGATGATGCATTCACCACCTTGTTTTTTTTTTATTTTTTTAAATACATACTCTGACAACTTCTTCTTTTTATTCTTCCTCCGTTGGCTTCAGAGATTGGCGGTATACATGTACTGCTGTTAGGGTCTGGTCGGATCCCTGAAATTGGTAAAGGTACAGAGTCGGAGAGACATTAGGAGGCACGGGTAGAATGAATCTGGTGGATGTACTGTTTTGTAAGGCAATAGTTGCAAGGGTAGAGTTGGCAGGAGAGGAGAGCTCAGGTTGAGCTAAAAGGACAACATCTGTGAATTTGAGAGAGTGGTGATGGTTAAGGTTGGAGGAGAATTTTAACTCTGTCCTTAGGTGGTTGAGTCTCCTCAAGATATTGAGTCTTTATCGTATGAAGATCATACATACATGTATCTCACACACTATTTCTAAATTTTTTGCCATGTTCTGTAGATTGCTGCTACTAGTTCTGAGTAGAGAAAGGTTCCCTCCAATCTGCCACCATGGCGTCACATAACGTCACTGTCACGCTGTAATTACTGTTTGACAAATTCTATATTCTGTGACACATGTTCCGTAGGTTAAGGCTACTAGTTCTGAGTAGAGAAAGGTCCCCTTACACCCGTCACCATGGCGTCACATAATAACATCACCGTCACGCACAAATTCTATTTTCTGTGTTCATGTTCCGTAGGTTAATGCTACTAGTTCTGAGTAGAGAAAGGTCCCCTTACACCCGTCACCATAGCGTCACATAATAACATCACCGTCATGCACAAATTCTATTTTCTGTGTTCATGTTCCGTAGGTAAATGCTACTAGTTCTGAGTAGAGAAAGGTCCCCTTACACCCGTCACCATGGCGTCACATAATAACATCACCGTCACGCACAAATTCTATTTTCTGTGTTCATGTTCCGTAGGTTAATGCTACTAGTTCTGAGTAGAGAAAGGTCCCCTTACACCCGTCACCATGGCGTCACATAATAACGTCACCGTCACGCTGGAGGATGCCCTCTCCAACGTGGACCTGCTTGAAGAGCTCCCTCTACCGGACCAACAACCTTGCATCGAAGCAACGGCTGTCTCTCTGACCTATAGAGCAAACTTTGATACCAACTTTGAGGATAGAACAGCCTATGTAACTGGTATAGCAAAGTACATTGAAGAAGCCACTGTTCATTCTGAATTGGTAAGTTGACATTGATTCAAAACAGACTTCCACATTTGTGCAATTTTCAGCCAACAATTTTCGATATATTTTCTATTTTTCCTTGAATGAAATTGAAGGAAACCAATGTTAATCTTTTTCTTCTTTTTTTTTCTTTATCATAATTTAAATAGAGATTTTGCATTTACCATTCAGGTCACTTTCTTTATTATCTATATTCCTAATCTATATGGAAATTGATTGTTTTATTAGAGATATCTTGGGTGAAATTAATATTTCCTCATTGTACCATTCACACATGAAAATGGGTCAGTTCTAATTGCATTACTTTCAATGAAAAATGTCTGCTTCCTTGTTCTGACAGATTGGGAGATACGATTACTTTGTTCAATAGCCCACTTTACTTGAATATATAGTGTTATTGAAATGTACTTGAATCAAGAATCTCACATGACACTGTCATGCTGTTAATACTAATAGTTTCAAGTAAGTTTATAATTGACATGTCATTTTTATCATCTCAAGTATGAAATCTTTCTCCTTTAATGATTTCATCATAGTCCAGATTTTCTCATGTGCATGCTTATCGCTGTTCCTTTTTAAGGGGAAGTCTACCCTGATATTCTGTCAGTTTTAATAGAAGCAGAGAAATGAAAGGAACAGTTCAATGAAAGTTTTAACAAATTTCAATTAAAAAGAAGAAAGTTATACATTTTTGAAGTTGCGATCAATCAAACACAAATTGGCAACACTGTGACGTACCATGCGAGCTCCTCTCCAATTTGCTCAGTGTATATAATTTCATAAACTTTCATTTTCTTCGCTATCGATGACGAAGTAGAGGGGGTTGAATAGAAACATTTTTGCAATAATTATATTTAGGGTGCATTGTTTGATTGAAAATTTTCTTAAGGGAAAATTTATTTTTTAAATCTGATTTTTTTTTCTTCACAGAAGAGATATCATAATAATTAGAACAAACATGAAATTATAAGTATCAAGTACATTAAAACGTCATGACTAGTCTCCATAACAAGCACTTCTTCATTTTTTAAAGAGGTAAAATATAGGGTCAAATAGGAAAAGAGTCGTGTCACGTACTCGCAAAAGTGGGAGTATCCATGAATTACCGGCCTGTAAAAACAAGAAGTGTCAACCCTACACATCAAAGATTTGATAGCTTGTATATCTACGAAAGTGCTCAAAAATTCATAACGTGATTTAGTGAGTGATCATTACTAGCTCAAGAAAGTGAAATGTTCTTGTAAGATAGAACTATTAAACATGCATTTTGAAGAAACATGCATATTTTATGTAATTTTTACGTGTATGTACCATTTTACATGTATGGTTATTAAAGAGGTTTGTGATTGCTTATGATAGCAAGAGAATAGCTTTAAGGTAAACAAGCAATTTCAGTATATGTTTGCTTTAAAACATCTTTCTAGCTTTCAGCACTTGTCCAATATTTTCAAGATGCAGAAATATACAATGAACTGGTAGGTACTTACAGATAATTTCACGACTCCTAATAAAACAGAACAATAAGCTGGAGAGGAATGGGGATACTCTAATCTTTCACTTTACAGTAGTTTATCAAATTACATCAAACTTTAATTCATCAAATATTTAAATGTAATCCACATTATCAGTTTATCATTATTTCAATATGAAAATTACATGTTAAAGTGTACCAGTCCAGAAAACATATTTTGCTCTTTGGTGTATTAGAGGGGTTCCATAATTCTATTTTGTTGTCAAACAACTTCAAGTACACAAAGAGATATGGCAGTTAAAATGCTTTGTTAAGTAGACTGCATGACATGCATGTGTATGCACTTAGTCTTATATAGAAAAGAGCGTGCACAGAACCCAAACATATGAGAATATATGGGGTAAATTTCAGAACCCAAGTCAGACTTGGCTTCTGTGTGCACCCTATACGCAGGGTATTATGTTATCCTTTATATCCTTCATACTCCTGAATTGTTTACCCATAGAAGAACAATTTCAGGTTGATTTTCCTACCTTTACACAAAGTACATTTTGGGGGGATTGGTACACTTTATAATAGAAACCTGCATCACTACACCTACAGTAGTCAGTCACGTACACAATATTTTATTGATATCGATTAATTATTTAATAGAAAGCCTACACTGTAGTTGCACAACGTTCAGCACTTAAACAAAGTACTCATTTGACTTCACCCTAGAAGACAGTTAAGACACTTTATTAATAGTAGATAGCATGTACAGATAATACTTTAAAACTTTGCTGTAAATACTAACTAGTAGAAACAAGCAAGATGTACATGTATCTCTTGCCGATGTTAACGCCAATTTGGTTTAAATTGGGATACTGTTTTCATGTAATTTACAGCATTTATTGATATGGTTGATCATCCTACCTTTACAAATGTACATGTGGCTTTGTAGAAATTTGTTTTGAGCAAAAATGACATTTACATTATAGGTGCATGTCATGTTTTGTTTATGTTTTTTTGTTTTCTTTATTCATGATGGAGATAAACATGTAGTGCTATATGAATGCACTCCCAAGTCCATTTCCTTATAATTGTCAAGCGGAAATTGTCAAGTGGAATTCACTTGTAGTAATCTGCGACCATTTTCTTCAATTTTGGTTTGTATCTCTCAGATTTAATCTCCGTTGGTTACTCTTTACATCGAAAGAAGAGCATTCTTGAATCTGTAAAGGAGAAATTCCTTTCTTTTCATAATTATGATGAATCTTCTCTCAACAATGTCAGAGAAGCACACTTCCTGGTACAGTCTTACTTCAAGACTCTTCAACTTTTTTTAAAATACACATGTACTAGCTGGGAGTAATTTTTACTGAGCTCGCAAGGGTATTGTGGGATGTATTTCATGAAATAATTTGTTCTTAGTCGGGTTACAAACTACAGTTCAAAGTTGTTGACATGAATAATATGTAGAAGTGTTTGAATACCTTACAAGTTAATTCACTGCACGTCTACAATATATATTTACCCTAGTTATGTGCAATACTAATTACAATATGAAACTTGTTTGCTTTAAATTTTCTATGCATATCAATAAACAAATGCTTGTTCTGTGGTCCATGCAGAACTGTTGTTTATTTTGCACTTATAAATGAGTTCACTCAACCAAATTAATACAATGGTCATCATTGTATCCCATGGAATACCGTATTTGCTTCAGGCAGCGGCCGAAATGCAAAGTGAAAGACTCGTGACAAACCAAGAGGAAATACTGTAGGATTGCTTACATTTACATGTCAATGCTCAATCGTAAATATTTCCTCATCTCTCAACAGAGTATTAAATTTGTAAGTACACTTGGAAAATGAAACTTGAAACTTCCATCTTTCTTTTTTTTTCCAAAGGAAAATTGTATGAAACATTGCATGTTCTAAACAGCAGATTTGACTATAATTACATGTGAAAGGAATTAAACTGATGTAATCTTTTGAATAGTCCCAATGATGCGAATATTAAAAACAAAATGTTCTGCCGAGAATATTTGGGGAGACAGATGGGGCATGCATGACAAACTGTAACTTGGTAGTGTAGAAAGTAATGGCGGTGGTGGTGATATTATGTGGAAGCAGAAACTTCTGCACCATCATTTCATAACAGGAATATGAAAGTAAAGTTTAAAATCAAATTACCTGCATGTAGTAGAGAAGCTTCAGCAGTGAGACCTACATATGAACATCTTCTACACACTGTACTTTGCTTCTTTTAAAGGTACTATGTCCCATTTGCAGGCCAAAAAAATGAAAAAGTTAAATTCCAACTGCATTTGAAAGATAATACTAATTTAGAACTTCCCTAAAAAAGGTGGGGCTTGAAAATGTCTTCAAGTGGGAAAATAACGACTATTAGTTGTAAAATCGACTTTAGGGCTATAGAGCCCAAAAGTAATAGTCTTGATTTTCAGACAATTGTACAGAATGGTCATACGTTTTATGCTGCGCAAAGATTCAATCAGTTTAATCTTGGCCATCACAAGAAGTGGGTTGTTGATGTAGACAAATGCTCATGTACCCTTTACAACTATTTTCATGTATGTTATTACCAAAGAAGAAAAAAAGCCAGTCAGTCACTCAATAGTGTCTGACAGTGAAGTCTAGCAAGTAAACAGGTTTCCTTGCATAATTTGAATATGAGGACACTGCTAACGTTTAAATTTCGCAGATAGGACATACATGACATATTCATAATTCCTGCAAAGTTCTACAGCATTTAAGGTTGGCTGCAAAAGGGACATAGTACCTTTAAGACCCTGTTAGAAGTGGAAAATGAAACTTATAAATTATATACCAACTGAAAAGTTTATAAGCCATAGATGACATTAATATCAATTAAATGCTCCATGTATTTTAGTGTCTGTCATAGGAGTATCAGCTCTCTGAAAACTCAAAATCAAAAGCTTTAAAAATCAGAAGTTGTTGACAAAAACTAACTATTGACTTGATGACATCATCTTATGTGGAGTTCACATAATTCACAATGACTTTGCATTGATTAAGCATGACTCATTACCTAAGCTTTCCATTGTATATATTATAAAATTGTTTTTCATCAGATAGGGTCTTTAATTTTCATATTCCTTTTGTGAAGTGACAATGTAACATTACATGTATTGATCTTCAAAACTCCGCAAAATCTATCAGACAATAATATATGCATGTACATGTACGTGGCAAATTAATGGTAATTGATTTGAATTAAAGAGTTTCCTATCTATTTGATACATGTAAATGATTTTTAATTAAGTATTGTGAACAACAATGTTCTGAAGTATTGGTTGTGAACTTGTGATATATTTTCTTTGAGCCTTTTTTAAAGGGCTTTAGATATGGGCATATCTAAAGACGCAAAAAGGTGTGTTTTGATTGTGACATACAGCCAGAATCACGTTTCTGAGAGATCGATAAACGCAAAGCTGTTTTGAACCTCACATACAAATAGGAATTCCCAGGCTAGTTTTCGGTTCGGAGAAATAGCGCTGAGCAGCTGCGAAGAGACAAGGCCTTTATTGTGAATCGTGAAGAGTCGATAAACGCGACATCCCGCAAATCGCAATCGTATAGTGGGGTTCGAAAGTGGGGTATGATAGTGGGGTACGATATGTACATATCTAGTGGCAAGCCCCGATAAACGCGCCCTAAGTCTATTATAAGAACAAAGTATTATAGTACTGTGTTGCCCATTTGAAATTTGTGATAGCCTTAATTTAATGCCCTCTTTAATAGAGATATAGAGAAATAGAGAAACAAACATTTATAATTATACCAAACCAAAATTAAAATCTGGCCTTGGGGTCATTATTGCTCTATCTTTTTATGGATTAATTACTAGAATTATAAATCAAATGGTTAAATTATTCACAAACATGATTAGGTTATAGACAAGAAATTTTTCTTTTTGCACTTAAAGGTAAAGACCAGTATTGGAAACGCCCCAATTTCAAAAAATGAAATGGAAGCTCTCATTACCAATCATGTGAAAGAATATGTTTTGACTAATACATGATGATAAAAAATTTGCCGGGAAACCACCTACTAATTCATATATTTGGTAAATTTGTTTCTCTCATGGTCTGTGAGAGATATAGGGTAGTCCCATATACATCTTTCTGTGTATAGTGCTTGTAACTTTACGAAGAATGGGCCAAATTTCTTATCATTTTGATGATTCCAGAACCTTGCAGATGCTAGATGCTAGATGATCAACCTTTTCTGATCAATTCCACAACATTTCTTTCACAATGCAATCGCATGACCATAACTGGTCTTTACCTTTAAGGGCTGGATTCAAATCTACATGTACATATACATGAGCTGATTTGATTTAGGGCCCACCTTAGAGCCAAATATTTGTAAGCTTACGATGTTGGGTAACCAGGAAACAAGTACCTGAGGTGGAGGAAAAGATATGTTTGGGAACAGGAAACAGCTTGACAGCATGCCACTAGACTCCAGGCTAGAGTCCACACAATCAATGTACACCATCATTGTTAAAGAACTCTGGAGTCTTTATTTCAGAATAACTCTCACTCTCTCTCTAGTATATATTTCACTTACATTGTTTGTTGCTGTTTCCCTCCTATATTGTGTAATCAAGGAGGATATAGCTGGTATTTCTTTGGTGTTATCGACTGTTAATTGTACATGTAAATCACTTTCTTTTTAGCTGTCTCTGTCTGTAGCTGCCTTTCTCTCTCTCTCTCTCCCCCTCTCTCTCTCTCTCTCTCTCTCTCTCTCTCTCTCTTTCTCTCTCTTTCGCCCTCTCTCTCTCTTCTCTCTCTCTCTCTTTCTTTCTTTCTCTTTCTCCCTCTCTCTCTCTCTCTCTCTCTCAATCTCTCTCCTTCCTTCCCTCTCTCCATCTATCTTTCCTTCCTTCCCTCTCTCCATCTCTCTCTCTCCTTCCTTCCCTCTCTCCATCTCTCTCTCTCTCCTTCCTTCCCTCTCTCCGTCTCTCTCTCTCTCTTTCCTTCCCTCTCTCTATCTCTACCTCCGTCCGTCTGTCCTTCCTTCCCTCCCTCTCTCTCTCTTCGTCCATCTCTCCCTCCTTCCTTCCTTCCCTCCCTCCATCTCTTTCTCTGTTAACTCTTTCTCATCAAGTGGCTTCTGTGTATGAAGCTCCTTGTTCTCACTTGTGACGTCGTCTGTTCTACATTTATGTGTTCCTCTTTCTCTACATTTTTCCTATGATGTTCCCCTGCTATTCATCCTTAAAAAATTCTGAAATGGGATAAAGACAGATGGCTTTTTTTCTGAATGCCAAAATAACAATTTAATATTAAGACAAACGGTTAGGAAGAGAGACTGATACCTACATGTATGGTCCATTATTCCATTTTATATATTTAAAATTCCTCTTCCCGCTTTGAAAGGGCTTTTGAAAATAGTTCTCTTGCGTTAGCTAGATGCATGTAATCGCATGGTCTAGTATTGACTACTGAAGAATTAATAGCTTTTGTCTACCATGTTTATGTCTGCTTTAATTTTTAAATTGAAATAAACCAAACATATTGCTGAATGTGTTATGAATCTAGGATATCTTGAATTTTGTATTGCACCAAAAACAACATGAAATAATTTCTTAGTTGTTTTAAAACAATACTGTGGTACATTAAGAGCCTGTAATAAACAATTTTCTAAACAAATGAAATATTTAACAAATTCATTTAAACAAAGTAATAAATAAATCAGGACTACACTTTCATTCAATCAATGATGTTTTACTTGCATATTTTGTGTCAACAGGCGTCATGATAAGAACAAAGTTTCTGTTAGGCCTTAGAGGGTATTTACCCCATCTTGATGAAATTATTATACATATGTATGTTTATTTTTTGCTTCTTGCTTTGATAGAATAAATTATTGGAGGAGGGAGAGAGCTATGCAGTCACTCTGTATACCTGGAGAAGCTGCTCCAGGGCCATGCCACAGGTAGGAACAAAACATTTAAAAAGAATACATCTTAAAGATGAAGAAGATATGGAAGAAGAAGAAAGAAGGAGGAGGGGAGGAGAGTTTGAAGTAGAGGGGAAGAGAGTTAAAAGGAGAGGGGAAGAGAAGAGAGATTGAAGTAGAAGGAAAGCAAATACAAAAAACCAGCATGAAAGAAAAAGATGTAGAAGAGACAGAAGGAAGAAAGAGGAGGGGAAGAGAGTTTGAAGGAGAGGGGGAGAGTTTAAAGTAGAAGGAAAGCAAATACAAAAACAAGAATAAAAAAAAAAGATTTCATCTAAGATGAAGAAGAGATGGAAGAAGAAGAAGGAAAAAGGAGGAGGGGAAGAGAGTATGAAGTAGAAGGAAAGCAAATACCAAAACAAAAGATGTTGGACAGTATTTTAAAAAGAGAGCTGGCTCTGAATAGCAAGTGGGTGATCGTGAGCTCTGTGAGTGAATAATATGAAATTAGTGGAATTCGAATTTCAACTGAAATGAATTAAATAGAATCACATTTCATAACTTTGCAGTTAAATTAAAATTAAAAAGTTGAGTTAAATTCAATTGAATGGAATTGAACTGAACTGCATTGAATTGAATTGAATTGAATTGAATTGAATTGAATTGAATTGAATTGAATTGAATTGATCTTAATTTATTTAAACTTAATTGAATTGGACTGAATATTGATGCACTAATATCAATTTGAAGAGGATGAATTATAAGAGATATAAATTTGCACTATATTGAAATGTCACCTCACTTTTTATGCAGATAAAGCATCATCATCATCATCATCATCATCGCCATGCAACTCTTTCACCTGCCATTTGTGTTGCACCTTTCATTCCTTGTCCAGACACTTTCTTGATATCATCAGTCCAAGATATTGGTGGACGGCCTCTACCTCGTTTTCCTTCGACTGCTCCTTGCAGTATTTGCTTCTCAACACCTTCAGATCTCCGAATAAAGCATACATGTTTTAATATGTATTGTAATGAATCTAAAATCGTTTGTCATTAGTTACTACTGGTACACGTACAAAAATGTACATTTTATGTTTGTTTCTATTCTTCACCAGATCAAGTCCAACAACCAACCAAACAGGAAGCAGATCTATGAGACGTTTGTTGATGTTCTGCGACCCGAGGTCACCAAGTTGGTGAATTTCATGTACTTTCAGGTAAAGTCTGTCACAAAATTGCCATATGAATTTCCAAGTGGCATCACTGCTCTCCAAATTCTGTGGGAAAAAAATCTGCATGTCATATAGTGAGAGCCACAAGATCAAAAAATCTGTAGTAAAATGATTTTGTGCATGCTGTTCTTGCTGTCAAGAAACAACATATTCTCAGGGGGTCATTTAGTAAACAAATAATACACAGCAGTGAGGGCATTAGTAATTGTACTAATGCCCAAACAAAATGATGTGTACCGGTATTATTTGTTTTATAGATGATGTTTTAATTGTTTTATAAAATGATGTTTTATAACATGTTTTTACTAATGACCGGTCATTAGTAACATTACGTGTTTGGCAAAATGAAGAAAAATCACGCTATATAAAAGATTTTACATGATTTATCATGATGCTCTTGGATGCAGGGGTAATGTATTTGTTTTCCAATTTCCCTACATGTAGCATTTATTGAGTGGACTTTCATTTCTGTTTTACCTTGAAAATACAGCAAAGAGCCATAGACGTCTTCTGCAGAGATGTGAAACGTCTTTGCCACGCTGAGAAGAAGAAGGACTTTGTGTCCGAGGCGTACCTCCTGACGCTAGGACGTCTCATCAACATGTTCGCTGTGCTAGATGCTCTCAAGAATGTCAAAGCCAGCATCAAGAACGATTATGCTGCCTACAGAAGGTAAATGTTGAGGGCCAGCCAAGGAGCCACGGTCCGCTAGACTGACCAGTTCAGTCTCGCTGGCCTTCTTGAAGGCCATTTGACCTGTGGGTCTTGCAGGGCCTCAAAGGCATCGTTTAACAATGTTTAATCTGAGATGCATGGCCCTACGTGTCATCAGTGTCTCTGATATGGTGTAACATTAAAGCCCTAAAAAAATTGCGCTTCAAAATGATCATGAAGTGCCTCAAAAAAGTCAATCTTTGAGTGACCAGTTTTACCATACTCATTTTCCCCAATAGACTGTAGTGTTATAAAAACTGTTATGAAACGAAAAATGCAATTTCGATTTCCAATCATAAATATCTTGATAATCAGACAGGCGATCGACTTGTAAAAGTCATGGGATTCCTGACTGACCTGAAGGTTTATAATTAAGATCGCAGCATGAGCTGAATCCAGGATTTTGTTTCAGAATCTGAGGCAAAGATACCCAATCCCTTTAATTTTCTCCTGACCTCTCTCTCCAGGGCGGCCCAGTTCCTGAAGGTGATGGCTGACCCTCAGGCCCTGAGGGAGTCCCAGGAGGTGGTCCTGTTCCTGGCCAACAACGACAAGATCACCAGGACCCTCAAGGAGAACCTGGAGAAGATCCAGGGCTACGAGGAGCTACTGGTGGACATTGTCAATCTCTGCGTGGACCTCTTTGAGCAACGCCAGTACGTCATGCCAGCTGAGAAACACATGCTTATCAAGGTAATGTTATATACCTTGGATCTTTTGCTGTCTTTTGGTCGCCATGTCCCGTCTCCATTTTTAAAAATTACGAACAAGTCTTGTATCATCGCAAAATATAGCTTCATCCCGAGCAAACATCTACAATTCTTTGGAGATGCCACTCTTTTTTTTCTTCTTTTTTTTAACTTTCCAAGACACTTGCAAGAACTGTATATTCATGAACAGCAATTCCACACAGAGTCTAATGTTAGCACTCTGAGAAACAATGCCCACTGGTGTGGACTGTTTGACCACCTCACTGTGATATTTTTTCGCTCCTTGTGCAGGTGATAGGCTTTGGTCTGTACCTCATTGACACCAAGGAGAACAACATCTACAAGATGGACCAGAAGAAGAGGATTAATCTCACCAAAATAGACAGGATTTTCAAGGTGTGTACCATATTGAGTGATGTATACAATAGTATACAAATAATGCACAACAGTGAGGGCATTAGTAAGAACCGCAGAGGGTGTTTGGACTGTTTCAAAGGTACCAAGTGTGGGTAATTTTACTAATGCCCGAACAAAATTATGTTTTATTTGTTTTATAACATGATTTTACTAATGACCGGTCATAAGCATTTACTAATGACCGGTCATTAGTAAAAAAAAAAAAAAAAAAAAAAATTGTGCTAGGCAAAATAAACGCCTGGTCAAATGTACGCTCTCAACCAATCATTTGATTATGATCCGCTTCATCATCTTATGATATGTTATATATTCAAGGTGTATAGAACTTTTCATTTGTTTACAACTTTTCTAAGAGCAAATTTGACCTTTAGACAAATATGTAACAACTTGTGATAATATCTGTCTGGAAAAGAGGATGCAATGCTCTTGTCACACCATTGAGACAGGTAACAGACCGACAACAGACTGAACAAAGATTTTACATTACCCCAAGAGGAAAAGAATCGGTCGATTTGAAGTCAGTATGGGGTCGTTTGAGTGATGTGAGGGATCAAGTGTCAGTTTGCCGTTCTCTTGACCAAAAGTGTCAAAAGTTGGAGAGGAATAGATGTGTCGGATCACCACTGTGAAAGTCATTTGAAAATGTCATGCCAGAGGAATGATATCATATCAAGTTTAATAATTGCAGACAAATTTTCTCATGATTGGTTCATGTGTATGAAAATGTAAAACAGCCACATTAACAAAAGTCTAAAAACTCTGCCAGGATAAATTTTCGTGGGGAGTTTGGGTTAACTTCTTTGTTTTCTAAAACTCTCTAATATCCCCTTTTAGCAATTGGAAGTTGTGCCCCTCTACGGTGACATCCAGATTCCCGTCTTCACGTACATCAAGAAGAGCGCCAACTATGAGTCGCACAAATCATTCTGGAACCCTGATATGTCGTCGGCTGCGCAGTACAACCTCCTAGAGCACCTTCAACCAATCAGAGACAGTCATATGAGATACATCAGCGAGCTTGCTAGACATAGCAACAAGGTGGGCTTCTTAGAGAGACCATGTTTTGTCGACCAAAACCTGGGGGCCATCCAAGAGCATAAGAAAAAAATTCTAGTTTTTTATTTTTTATTTTTTTTAAATTAAAAAAAAAAAAAATTAAATAATTTTTTTTTAATTATTATTATTATTTTTTTGTTTTTTGTTTTTGTGGATTAAAAAAAAAAAAATGTAATCAGACAGGTGCATGGCTGTCCCTGAGCTAAGACCTGAATATTTAAATTATTATTGAGCATACTTGATCACATGCTTCTTGGACATATTCTTAATCATCTTCCCAAAACTCGAACCAGGAAACATTTATGAAAAATGCAAATAATTTCAGAGATGTCTATGTGTATTTGTTAGTGGCTTTAAAAGAAGTCGAACTTGCAACGTGTTGGTGTGGAGAAATTAAGATGAATCTCACTGTGTAAATTAAGTTTATTATCTCTTCAATGCATATTTTGTCGGAGTGATTACATGTATAAAATAGATATCATTTTATGTTGATTATGTGTCATTGTTTTGTAGGAGGTAACAACAGCACAGAAAGACACAGGTCGGACTGAAGATGAGAATCGTGTATTGTACGAGATAGCTCTGCGTGGCCTCAGGTTATTGTCAAGATGGACGTCCCTTGTCACAGAACTGGTAAGTCCACCTGTTTTGACCATTCCCTCTCACCAATTCAAAATGCCTTGGTCACACCGAAACATTCAGCCCATGCATTTCCTTTTCGATGTGAAAATCAGATAAACAAGCTGACATCGATCTTGGAATGCATGATTTGAATTGAAACCGAAATGACATTGATGACGCTATGCTGCGTTTCCCATGCATTTTAGCGGAAGTTTAAGCAACAACACAAAGACCCAAGAAAATTGCCAGTGGAAGTTCTTTCCAAGTGTATCATATGTGACTCATACAAGCACTTGGCCAACTAATTAACTTTTTGGTAGAAATGGATGATGAGTACGAATGTCAAAGAGGATTGTGTCAAACTTGATCTAAATCAACTTTTTTAGTTCTACCAAAGGATATGTGCATTCCCAATAGATTATGTTGTATGTAGTATTATTTGGTTTGTTTGTTCCTCTTTTTTCTCATGTTTGCAAATATCAGTTTTGTAAATGTTTTATCCTGCAAGTGGATCCATTTGAAAACCAACTTCTGTGGGAAATCAAATAGAGAAATGATGGGTACTACAAAATAAAAGAATAGCAACGGATAGAGACATACTGAAGCTTTTTTAATCACAAGAATGAACAGAAAGGCACAGCAGGGCCCCGTCTTACAAAGACTTACGATTGATCCAAATCAATCGCAAGTCCCCCAATCAACCGCAAGTTTGCAGTCTCCAAACTCTTATGTACATAGTTGCGATTGATATCAATCGCAAATAAGCTGCGATTGATATCAACTCTTTGTTAGACGGAGCCCTGGACAATATAAACATATAAACAGCTAATGTGCTTAGATTAGCAAGTGTGCGCTGATGACCGGGGTAATAATATGATTGCAGGGCCCTCAGGGAGAACAGTATGAATACTGATGAGGCTACCCTGGGTAAACAAGACATATTATTATTCTTATTATTAATGAAATACAGTTATAGACCGAAACATCGCGATCATTATTTCATGTGTATTTGTGTTTTTTATGTTTCAGTTTTCTTGGAAACTGTTTCATCCTGCTGAGACAAGGGACATCAAGGCTCAAGAAGCAGAGGAATATGAGAGGGTAAGTCTTTCCAACCTATCTTGGCTTTCCCTGCCACTTTAAAGCCTGTCTGCACTAGTTTACAGGAGGGATTTATAGACCTCCCTGCATGGTCACCGACAGGTGGTTATCTCATCAAATCAGCTCTCAATTAAAATAAGAAAAAGAGGATCATGGGAACCAACAGGTACCGCTTTGGTATTGTTTGCTATATAGAGGGCGCAAGTAGATAGAAGTAATGCAAACAGGCTTTAAGAGCAGTCCATGCCTCTCCTGGCTCTGCACTCATATGTAAAGCATGTTATAAGAAACGAGTATTGTTGTTGTTGTTGTTATTATTGGCGGCTCTACGGTCAGTTGGAAGTGGTCTATTTGAGGGTACCGTCAGTGTGTCTCTAGCTTGCTGTATGACCACCTGACCATTTATACCTTTGGTTTTCTTAAACAGCTCATGGGAAGCTGTATCAAAAGTATCTTTCTTTACAGATTGCATTTATTGTTTCCCTGAACTGTTCTCTGTTTCAGAGAAGTTTCATATCTATTCAGTACATGTTTGAAGTGGGTTTCATGATGAGTTATCTCAGGTTTCATTCTTAGAGGAGAGGGCCTTGCTGCATGTTTTTGTGCAAACTTACCTCAATGAAGTTACATGTAGTTTGACGAGAATGTCTAAATTCCTCATGAACCAAACTTGGCTTCATCTCAACATAGAAATCATAGGATACAATACTAAACAGATCAAATGTCACATGTAGTTTAAGCTTCTACCAACCTTAAAATTTAGTAGGCAAGCTTTCGCCTACTCCTATGGACTTTCTCAAGCCAAGTGATTATTCACACAGTTTCTTGCTGTCTGCTGCCTCAACATCACTAGAGCAAAGATAGATGACAATGATCAAATCGGGGGGTCAGTGACACAAAGACGTAACTCCATTTTGGCCATTTTGAGAAAAAGTGGTGTATGTGTCACTGAGCACTTGGGCCTTAAGAAGTTAAGTCTATGTTTCACTAGCCATTGGTTTCAATGGGGTGTGGGGTGGAGATAAGTCTTTGTATTTCTAGGAAAGCCCACATTTTTCTGAACATTTTGATATCAAATACTCATTTTTGCAAAATATGGAGTTACGTCTTTGTGTCACTGAACCCTTGAAATGTCATGCCATGTTTCTCAATACCTCTCTCTCTCCCGCAGGCTACTAGGTACAACTACACGAGCCAGGAGAAGTTTGCCCTGATCGAGGTGATCGCCATGATCAAGGGTCTCCAGGTGCTGATGAACCGCATGGAGAGCGTCTTCTGTGAAGCCATCCTCAGGACGGTCTATGCAGAGATGCAGGACTTTGTCCAGGTCACGCTGCGAGAGCCGCTCAGGGTGGCCACAAAGAAGAAGAAGACACTTGTTGTCAGGTACGTGTCCATGTGAATTATCTGAGTTTTAGATATAGAAAGCTGGGAGGTGTTTCACAAAGATCCTAAATTGAACTTATGTCTAAGTTGGACTTAACAACTATGGAAAGCCATTAGCATCTTTGAAAATATTTTGTAAAAGTTATTTTAAAAGGCATAAAATAATAATTCAAATGATTCATATTTTCTATTATCAAGGAGATTTCATGATCTTGATGTGAAATTTATGAAAAACCTAAAATACTTACATATTTACTTTTGATTTTAAGGCTATGAATGGCTCTCCATAATGTTTAAGTACAACTTAAGTTCGACTTAGTATCTTTGTGAAACATCCCCTGGACTGGTTATCAGGAATATCAAGACTTGAGTATGTTTGGATTTAGATTGTATTCAATCAAGGAAGTCAGCAATGTTTCACTGTAAGTTTTCTGGGTCAGAAATAAAATAGTTCATTCGGAATGTAATTGCTCATGAAATTTGTGAACCTGAATGATTGGGTATAAATGTGTAGTTTTTATTGTAAGACCTGGGCCCCATTGCACAAAACTTAATATCGATGGTAACTTTGCCGTCAATGGTAACTGCCATGGAAACCTTGATTTTGATCAAGTAAGTTTTATGTAACGGGGACCTGTTTTTTCCTCTCCAAACAACTGCCACTTTGTTGTGCTATTTAAACAAATACATGACACTTCATAGCAGCATAAACCAGACGCAGTTTAATACCAATTTAGGATTGATCATGTGCCTGTCTTCCCTTATACCCTTTGACCTTTGCAGTATCATTCGAGCTGTGAGAGAGACCTGTGCTGATTGGCTGAGAGGGGTCGAACCCAACGACCCCGCCCTGAAAGGAGAGAAAGACCCCAAGAATGGATTCTCGTTTGAGGTGCCAAGGAGAACCGTGGGCCCATCAAGTACACAGGTACGAACAAAGGAGCTGGAGAAGAATAATAATAATAATACTCAGTTTTTATATAGCGCTTATTAGAATCGCTAAGCGCTTCCAAACTTGGAGATTATTACCCAAGTTTTAGCTGTGCTGCCATTGCGGCGCTCTAGCATTTCAAAGAATTAATTCCTGCCAGGTACCCACTTACATCACCTGGGTTGAGTGTGGCAAATGTAGATCAATGTCTTGCCAAAGGACATTGATGCCGCGGCAGGTCAATAGCACAGTCATTGTAGTACAGTCAAACCTGTCGATAGTGACCGCCCAAGGGAAACACAAAAAGTGGTCTTTGTAGACAGGTTCCTTTAGTACATGTTTCAATGAGAGACCATTTTGAAGGGAAACAAAAAATGTGGTCTTTGTAGACACAAGGATATGCTGCATAGTCTGTCTTGAAAATCTGTTCGACACAGTTACACACATAATAGGCATTTTTTGCCGTTACTATGTCTTTAACTGAGCTGCATTTCTATTTTTGAACATCTTTATCAGATACTGATACATTACAACTGCTTTTGAGGAAGACAACTTTTATTTACGAGTTAGAAGTAGTATTTTATTTATCTATTTATTCAAAAATTTATACTAAAAATCTAACATTTAGAATATTTTTGAACATATGTCTTAATCAGATACTGATATATAACAACTCTTCTGAGAAAGACAATTCGTGGTTAAAAGGTAGGAGTAGCATTCTGTCCTTAATGCTAGAGCACTATAATGGCAGCACAGCTAAAGCCGGGGTAATAATAACCAAGTTTGGAAGCGCTTAGAGACTTATTGTGATTTCCGCTATATAAAAGCTGAATATTATTATTATTATTTATATATTCATTTAAAAATGTATACTGCATAATACAAGACCAATGGAAGGGCTGTTCCGTATCTTGTTATTGGTGAGAGTAGTGGGCCACAATTTGAATTTTCAGCCTTTAAAGTGATTGGGTTTCTTTGCCTCAGATTCTTAAAAAATCCAGGATTTAGCTCATGCTGCAATCATAATTATAAATCTTTAGGTCAGTCAGGAATCCCATGACTTTTACAAGCCAATCGCATGTTTGATTATCAAGATATTTATGATTGGAAATCGAAATCAAATTTTAATATTTCTTAACCTCTCCCACCCCAGCTGTACATGATGCGAACCATGCTGGAGTCATTGACGGCGGACAAGGGAGGCACTGGCAGGAAGACCTTGCGCAAGGAGCTGGAGAGCATCTTCACGGTGGAGCCCCTGGAGAAGTTTCACAAGAAGACGTACTTCTTCACCTGCATGCTCAACTTCTCGGGTGAGTTAGATACAGGAAGCTTCTAAAGATGCTATGTGCTGAGAGCCAGAAGGGCATTACCTTTAGTTCAAATAAGCCAGTTCATAGAAACAATCTGCGCATGGGCAGATAAAGGTCATTTGTACCAAAAGGTAATACCCACAGAGATGAATACTGGATTATGCGCTCATGAAAGTTATGTAACATTATTCATTTATGCGCCAATGGTACATTCTAAGATACGCAGGTGGAAGTATTCTTTTCAAGAGGGCAATCAAAAGGTATTCATGAAGCACATCTCGGACTTAGGCAGTTATTATTCTAAGATGCTCAAAGTGGAACTTCTCCATGTGTAAAAGATCTGTGGATATTTGGGGTCATTTGTACCATGTGCTATCTGTAAACTCCCTTATTATATGAGACCTGGGGGGTGTTTCCCAAAGACTAAGATCGACTTTAATTTGGACTTAACTATGGCAGGCCATTCATGCCACTGTTTGCTCTCACCATTATGATCTTAGTGTTTTCCTTCAATAATGAACTATCAATAACGTAGATTTGTGACCATGATTTGTACGTCCTTTGACAGACCAAATACCAGTAAACGGTAATATTTCTGACTATCAAATTATTGAATTAGTGAAGTATTGAATTGAATACCGGCCCAATTTTCCAAGTCATGCACGACACAGTAGTGATGATGGTGATGTATATATGACTGTTTTCATCTGGCTGATATTGTTTTATTTTGTTGTCTGTTTATGTTTATAGAAACCCTGCAAGCATGTTGTGACCTCTCTCAGCTGTGGTACAGGGAGTTCTTCCTCGAGATGACGATGGGAGAACGGATACAGGTAAATTCATTCAAAAATTGATCAATGTGAAAATGATACAAACTTGTGATAGAAAGAAAAATCAAAATTTTCATATATGTTTATGTATACATAAATGTATTATTTAAAAACGGTGTTAGTTTTTTTTTTTTTTTTTTTTTTTTGTGTGCACAAGATGTATTTATCTACATTCAAAGGAACATGGATGAAACTGACAATTGTATCTATATGTCGATATTATGTTGAAAAACACACTGGCTGTTACATAAACCTAACATGATGAAGATGCTGTTCAAGTAAAACTACCAACTAGATTCAAAATCACATTTCAAATACTTGGAAAAGCAAAACATCTAGAGATATTCTTAGATTTAAAACTAATAGATTTAAATAATAATAATAATAATAGATCACATTTATAACGCGCCTAATACATTGTTTCTAGGCCCAGTGGTGCTGTTGTTCCAGCAGCCATTGAGTGAAGCAATATCCTTACACGAAATAAAGCCGGGACGACAGCACCACAAGTGCACAATATTATTCAGTACACAATTATACCGTATGCCATGTTACATTAGAAAATCAAAATTACAGTTTGTTTATACAAATAAATGAATAAATCAGCTTAATTTAACTTAAATCTAACTTAAATCTAACTTAAATTCTGCTAAAGATGACTTATTTCATAACAAATAGAAGTACAACATCATTTATTTATTTGACATGTTTAGAGAAGAAAAAAATTGAAAATTGATGAATGTATGTTTTATTTGCTTCCATAGTTTCCGATTGAGATGTCGATGCCATGGATCCTGACTGATCACATCCTTGAGACAAAAGAGCCCTCGATGATGGAGTAAGTCATATCACTTTACATGCAGCGACTGACTCACTAGAAACCTGGGGGGTGTTTCACAAAGATCCTAAGTTGAACTTATCTCTAAGTTGGACTGAATTATATGGAAACCCATTAGCATCGTTGAAAATATTTTGTAAAAGTTATTTCAAAAGGCATAAAATGTTGATTCAAATCATTCATATTTTGTATAATCAAGGAGATTTCTTGTTCTTGATGTGGAATTTTTGAAAAGTCTAAAATACTTCAATTTTCACTTTTGAATATATTTATTTTAAGGCTACAAATGGCTCTCCATAGTATTTAAGTCAAACTTAGGGTTAAGTTTGACTTGGGATCTTTGTGAAACACCCCCCTGAACCAGAACTGGTCTCAAACCTGTCTTCAAAGACCATATTTTTTGTTTCCCTTGAAAATGGTTTCTCATTGAAACATGTACTAAAGGAACCTGTCTACAAAGGCCACCTGTCTACATAGACCCCTATTTGTGTTTCCCTTGGGTGGTCGACAGGTTTGACTGTACCATGTGATCCACAGTCTGTTGACAACACTATATATTGGGCGTCAGTGATTCTAATAAACGCATGATCATTTCTCCAATTAGTTTTGGTACTGACTGCCTGTCTATTTCTCCTATCCAGGTACATCCTGTACCCTTTGGATCTGTACAGCGACAGTGCTCAGTATGCACTCTCAACGTTCAAGAAGCAATTCCTCTATGACGAGATAGAAGCAGAGGTAAGTCATCGCTCATCCTCGAATGCCATTAACCCTTATACTTTAAAGCCTGTCTGCACTAGTTTAGCCAAGATGAATTGGACCTCCCAGTTTAGTCACTGACAGGTGGTTATTGTGAAACGAGTCCCTGGTTTCATGGCAATTTTACCACCAGTCAAGGAAGATGGGCTTACAATGAAAGCTGTTGTTCTCTATTTCTTATTTAACTATAAAATTAGAACACATATTGCTCATTCTGATGAGTAATCAAACTTAACCTGTTGACTACTGAATTCTCTAATTCCCATGGGCTTAATACAGGGACGACCCGGCTACAGTGGACTTTCTCAAGCCAAGTGATTCTCCTCACATTTTATTGCTGATGTTTTTAATCTTTCCTCTCTCTATAAATTATCTTTTTTTTTTTTTTTTTTACTTGTAGGTGAACCTGTGCTTTGACCAGCTGGTGTACAAACTCAGTGAGCAGATCTTTGCTTACTACAAGGCTCTTGCTGCAAGGTATGATGCCTACACATACAGTCAAACCTGTCTATAAGGGCCACTCAAGGGAAACAGAGAAAAGTGGCCACTGTTGACAGGTGGCCTTTCTAGACAGGTTCTACAATACATATTCCTCTCTTGTGGGAGACAAAATAAAATCTATTGCCACTATAGACAGGTGGACACTATTAAACGCAGGTTTGACTGTGTCAATATTCTAATGTGAAAACGATGTCTACAGTGAAAAACGGATATAAAAAAATTGGATTTACAATCTGCCCTTGATAATTTTTATCTCTACCAGGATTTTACACCAAATAACGAAATGCATAAATTTTACTGCTTGAATGATTGAAGATTGTTAAAGGAACTTCACTGAGATGATAGAGAGATCCTGTGCATATACATGTAGTTTGGTTCTGTACACAAAGTGTGATGTTATTCAAATGATGAATGTGAATGAGTTCATTAAAGGATCGTTCCGCACTTGAGTTTAGGCTGCGAGGGCTTCGTACGAGGTGCGTAAAGAGCCTTAACAAGAACGGAGAGATCCTGTAAGGAACGACTGAAAACATGCATCATTTGGTTTTACAACAAAAGTTCTAGATCCTTGTTATTTGATGATGAAAAAATAATAATTTCAAGATATTTTTTTGTCATTATCGCTAGCAAAAAAAATAAACAAACTTTAGCGCCCGCACAGAGTTATTAAAGCTCCTTATTTCTATACCTGTTTATGTGCAGTGCTACACAAGTATATGCCCACACAGAGTATAAGCCCACTAACCTCTATGCTCCCTTAAAAATTATTGGATAGTACTGGAAACTATTGCATGCTTTTTCATGAAAAAAGCTTTTGAAAGTCTCAGGAAATAAATCACACATGACCACGTAGGATCCTGGAGTTAGTTGTATAATAGCCAGATGAACACGGTAATGAATATACCATTGATGTCTGCCACGCTATTTTGATTGGAATGTTCCTATTTTGAACGCTGTTATGATCTGAGACTCTCTTTCTTGCAGCATTCTGTTGGACAAGCGATTCAGGACAGAGTGTCAGAACTTTGGTATCCACATACTCTACCCTCCTCCAAACAAGTATGAGACCATACTCAGACAGAGACATTTACAGGTACGTTTCTATATCAAACACCGTGTTTCCTTTACTCCACGTGGACTTCTAGGTCTAGAACACGTCAAATCATGATTGAAAACTTAGCTATTTTGGCAAATGTGAAAAATACTGACTTCGTTGGAAGAGCCTGTGCTTTTGAATGTTTTTGGGATCTTTTAAAACATGAACATAGTGCTGTAACAATGATATGAATCGTTGTCTTCATAATTTTCTAATTTCTTAACCTTGAGAATTCATGCAGAGCATCGAGTCCACGGTCAGATGCCTTAAATGTTGTATTAGACAAAATGTCAGAACTTTCAGCTTCATCACTTTTTATTTTTGTTTGTTGCTGTTCTTTTCCACTAGATTGTTTTAATGATTCAAAATTTTCGGCAAATACAAGGGCAGCTTTTTTCGTGCCTTGTTGTTCTTCATGTACATGTTTATAATTCAACAATCTCTGGATATAAACGAGGGCAGTTTTATTATGCCTGATCATCCAGGGGACCAACGGCTTTCAGTCCTTCTTGATGGACTTGGTAATGAGGATTAATGCATTACCAAAGGTCACAAGCTTAATGACTTAGTTTCAAACTTTCAACCATCTGACTATGAGAGACCGCTGAGCCCTCGCGCCTTTATAAATGTGATATTTTTGTTTTCTCTGATAGCTCCTAGGTCGTTCTATCGACCTTAATCGACTGATCTCACAGCGCATCAGAACCTCGCTTCAGCGCAGTCTTGATCTTGCCATAGCTCGCTTTGAGAGCAGCGACTTCACGTCTATTGTGGTAAGTTCCCTTCATTCTTATTCATCGTAAATGTTTTGTTTTGTTTTGATTTTATTTCTGCATTTTTCAACATAATATAAAGTAATATGCAAACTAGGTACATGTTCATTATTAACAAAAATCAAAATACACATATAATCATTATATTAATCAATTTAATAATTATACCTTTAAGAAAAAAACATAGTTAACAATTCATTTTGAAATTGAAAAATGCAGGAAACCGCCATCTTAAGCTAGAGTTTGAAAGTGATGGCGACCAAATGAAATGACCCTCATGGAATGCAAAGACCCCCAAAACACTATCTACCTAATCATATTACTTTGATTGCAAAGTATTTTTTGGGCCAATTGTTTGGTATTTTTGTTTAAGTTTCAATTTATTGTATTAGTAGAGGAAATCATTCTACATTTATACTTATTTATAGTCATACACAACTAAATAGTTTTTTGATCTAGTCTAGTCATGACCTTACCGTATAAGCTCTTTACCTTTTGACCCACAGGAGCTTGACCAGCTTGTAGAGGTCAACCGTTTGACCCACTCGCTCCTGTCCAAGTTCCTGACCCTGTCTGAGTTTGACGCCATGCTGCGTGAGGCCAACCACAACGTGATGGCACCCTACGGCCGTATCACGCTCCACGTCTTCTGGGAGCTCTACTACGACTTCATACCAAACTTCTGCTACAACGGATCAACAGAAAGGTAAAAAAACTCAACAGTGCATTTATTTTTTGACGGTGTTATGAATAGAAGAACATAATAGACATGCCCATCTGGACATGCCAGCTGTAATGCACATACCAATGTACATGTAATACACATAACAGCCAGTAACAATATAACAATAGATGGATACCTGAATAGCATACCATTACCACTATAGAAAAAATGTCACTGCTGTGAACTTCCAAGCCACTTCACTACCAGAATCCAAGTAGAAAGGACACTCCCTTAACTCTCAGGTAAAGCATTCATGTTATAGTGTATCAGAGATACAACAGACGGGTCCTTATTTTGAGGGTAGGATAAACAGATGCTGTGTTAACAGATACTTTCAGGATGGTTTTATTAATGCAAATTGGGAATTGTCTTGGGGTCGCAAATTTAACAACACACATGAAATTGAGCTGGCAATGCATGTGGAAACACATTTTGTGAATAGCCTGTGTTACTTATCATGACAAACACTCACAAAAATGTTAATGCTACTGTCATTTGTCAAAACAAGACCACTGGTCTAGTCTACCACTGAGCCATCACGCTGCACATGTCATTCCATCGTATACTTTGACTTGTGATACAGCTCTTTTGTTTGTTCGGTTGCATCGTTCAACAGCGATGATTGATGTAAGTTGAAATGCTTTTTGCCTTTTCCTCCCTCTTGACAGGTATGTCAGAACGAAGCTGTCGTTCATCGATCCTCCAAGCAGAGACAAGCCGCCCACAGCAGCACCATCCTATCTCTTTGGATCTAAGGTAAGATATGTATCAGATAATAAAAAATAACATTACTTTGACCAAGGCTGGGCCAAATTTCTTATCATTTCGATGATTCCAGAACCTTGCAGTACACACCAATACTTATATGCTACATGATAAACCTTTTCTGATCGATTCCAAAACGTTCCTTTTACAATACAATTCATGACAAGGGCCCAGTTGCACAAAACTTAGCATTGATGGTAACTCTGCCATCAATGGTAACTACCATGGTAACAGGGCTCAACAGCCATTGATAGCAAGTTACCGTCAATGGTAAGTTTTGTGCAACTGGGCCCAGAACTCAACTTTATCTTTAAAGCCCTTTTTAGCTCCAAACGGACAATATGTTACTATGGGCGTTTGATACAAGGAAAAAGTCTGAAAATAGCTTTATTACATTCATGAGTCATCAGAAAAGGGCCCCAGAGTTGTTGTATTAATAAATGAGTTCTTTATTGATGCTAATTTGTCTTGTCAGTTTGGAACAAGAAGAGCGTTAACACTGTAAACTTATATGAGCTACATCCCTTTTGGCTCCTAAATTCTGTGTTGATGCTGATTTGTTTGTATGGTTCCTTGCAGGCTCTGAACAGCGCTTACAGCAGAGTGAACAGTCTCTACACCACCTTTGTTGGTATCCCCCACATACGATGCATGGTGAAGCTCTTAGAGTATCAGGGCATCGCTGTCATCATGGAAGAACTGCTCAAGATTGTCAAGGGTCTGGTAAGTGTCGTTGAAAGAAGTTGCTAGTGGACAATGGTTTGTGACAGAACAGAATACATATGTGTGGAAACGAATGAATATAACTATTGCAGTATCCCTGCATCCATCGCACACGATTAAGCTCTCTCTCAGTAGTAAGAGAGAGAAGAAACTCCTAGAAGTTTCAGGGTTTCGTTGTCATCATGGAAGAACTGCTCAGATTGCCAAGGGTCTGTTAAATCATATTGAGAGATCGCTTGGTTGATGAATTAATGCATTGCCAGTAGTCAGGATTTAGTAAGGGAAGATAATGATAATGTCTGGAGGTGAATGGATACAATATTTTTGAAGGTATCCCTCAATTACAAGACTCTGGTGGTAAGCGCTTTATAAGCACTGTTTTTATTATGATTATTATGGTGAAACTCCTTGGGTGTCAGGGTTTTGCTGTCATCATGGAAGAACTGCTCAAGATAGTCAAGGGTCTGGTAAGTCACGTTGAGGGACGGTTGGACTGGTGACATAATGCATTGCCAGTGGACAGCAGTAAGAGAGAGAAGAAAAAGGTATCTATAGATATCTGGATTAATATACAGACAAACCTGTCTATAGTGACCGCCCAAGGGAAACACAAAAAGTGGCCTTTGTAGACAGGTGGTCTTTGTCGACAGGTTCCTTTAGTACATGATTCAATGAGAAACCTTTTCAGGGGAAACAAAAAATGTGGTCCTTGTAGACAGGTGGTCTTTGTAGACAGGTGGTCACTAAAGCAGGTTTGACTGTTTAAGTGAGACATGGTGAAAGTAATACTAGACGATCTGTTGTAGGTACCAAGAAAACATATTGCTCTGCAGGTGCCTTCTAAAATTTCTCTCTGCTTTTCACAGCTCCAGAACACGATCCTTCAGTACACCAAGGTACTCATTGACGTGATGCCCAGGAAATGCAAGCTACCCAAGTACGAGTACGGAACAAAAGGTAAGTGATTTCAGTCGGTCAAACTTAGCTATATAGATGACATGCATATAATATTAACCTAAATGGAAACATTTCATAGATATAATAATTTACAAAATATATCAATTTGTAGGTGGTTTTCCGGCAAAATTTGTATCATCGTGTATTAGTCAAAACATATTCCGTCACAGGATTAGTAATAAGAGCTTCCATTTCTTTTTTGAGAGGGGGCGTTACCAAAACTGTTCTTTACCTTTAACATATTCCTTCTTGTTTCAGGTGTGGTAGCGTACTACTCAGCGCATCTCCAGGACATCGCCCAGTACCCTGACCTCAAGGTCAATCTCTTCCGTAACTTCCAGGAGGTCGGGAACACCATCATCTTCTTCCGTCTCATCGAGCAGAGTCTAGCCGTAGAGGAGGTATGTGACCTTCTGCACGCTTCGCCCTTCCAGAACATCATCCCCAAACCGCATGTCAAACGTAAGTACAGAAATTCTTGAGATAGAGTTGATTTGCTTTTAAGTTTATAATTCAAGGGAGTGATGTAATGGTGTGTTATTGAAATCCATGGTATTGACAATTCTGGGGACAGTTTCACAAAGACTGAGATCAACTTTAAGTCGGACTTAACTATGGCAGGCTATTCATGCCACTGGTTGCTCTCACCATTGGTCTCTCAATTATGATCTTTAGATAATACTTTCTTTCTCAGATATTATGGTTGTGTTTGCAAATCACATGCTTTTAATCATGGATTGTTTTTTGTTTTATTTCAGCTGGTGAAAAGTTAGAAGTCAAGCTGAAGAGGCTGGAAGCTGGTTTTGCACCGCTCCATGTCGTCCCTGTCATAGAGAAACTTGGATCGCAAGAGGTAAGATATTACAGTGAAACCTGTACATAAAGACTGCTCAAGGAAAACTTGAAAGTGGTCTTTATAGGCAGGTGGTGTTTATTTATAGGTTTCTTTGGTAAGGTTTCAATGGGAAACCATATTCAAGAGAAACCAAAAATTTGGTCTTTATAGACAGATGGTATTTCTATACAGGTGGTCGCTAAAGCAAGTTTGACTGTATCACAATTTCTACCTCAATCGTAAAAAGGGAGACATATACCACTTTGATGTCAACACATTGCTATTCAAATTTTGAAATTTACTTTTTCATGGTATCTTTAAGTGCACGACAAATGAAATTACAATGCTACCGTGGTCAAAAGATGTACAAGTAAAAGATCATAGATTAATTTCCACTTTCTTTTTATAGATCAAAATCATTCGCTCTGCCAAAACTGATATTCAGGCACATTGTAGTTGAGTGTGTGTGTGTGTGTGTGTGTGTCGCATGGTGGGGGGGGGGTAGTATTGTGTTTGGTTGGATGGGGTTATTTGATTTATGTTACAACTGATTTCATTTTTGTTTTCATCAATCGTACAATCTATGTAATGAAATTGTTTTGAATTCATGTCAAGGAAAAACAACTGTATTTTATTTCTAAGATTGATTTGTATTGTTTGGAATCAATAAAAAAAACTATCCCCCAAATTTTTTTCAATAATGATAGGAAATAGTTCATAAATACTTTCAATGCCTTACAGCAGCAGGACTATAGCAAAGATAATAGTACTTTGTGGCTATTTCGAATATATCCCCTGTGATGGATATTTGAATAGTGTAAATGTAGATATTATTGTCCTTATTGCTAATATTGTGGTATTACAAAAAAAATATTACAGAAGCTAATGTTTTGAAATCACCATGGCAATACTTTTCATAGTAACACTGGAGATGACAAAACATAATCATATTTTCCTCTTTTTTTATAACCTTTCCTATCTAGCAACTGGCTGACACACGAGAGGGTGATCTGTTGACCCGTGAGCGTCTGTGCTGCGGGCTGAGCATGTTTGAGGTGGTGCTCTCGCGCATCCGTAGCTTCCTCGACGATCCTGTCTGGTCTGGGGAGGAACCCATCAACGGAGTGATAAACATCGATGAGTGCACCGAGTTCCATCGGCTCTGGAGCGCCATTCAGTTCGTCTACTGCCTGCCGCTCAAAGAGAATAACTTCACACCAGAGTAAGAAACAAGCTGATGAAACCACAAGGCCTTGGTCACTTCATGTGACGAGATACATACACCATCGAAATAATCCTTCATAACATTCAATTATAGTCAAAGAGTAAAATTTATTTTGAATTTGCCATTTAAAAAAAATGTAAAATCCATTCAGAACATGACAGGTCTTGAGATCGTAAAGTCAAAGGATTAGAGCTCGTCTGGTTTGTTTTATGGTGGTGATAACAATAGAGTGATTCATCTTATTAAACATTGCACCCTGACTCATCGTTAGGTGTATCTGATGTATGGTTTATTGTGTATTCAGAGAGAGCTACAGAGAAGGTGTGAACCAGGCAATATTATCACGCTGCAATTTTAATCTGATGTATGATTTCTTGTGTATGCAGGGAGAGCTATGGGGAAGGTCTGAACTGGGCAGGCTGATACATGATCACACTGTTGAACCAGCAGAGACGGTTCAACGCTCTAGATTTCAGTATGCAATTTCTAATCTGATGTATGATTTCCTTTGTACGCAGGGAGAGCTATGGCGAAGGTCTGAACTGGGCCGGCTGTACCCTAATCACATTGTTGAACCAGCAGAGACGGTTTGACGCTCTAGATTTCAGCTACCACATCCTCAAGATCAACAAGGTGGATAACGTGAACGAGGACATCAACGGCATCGTGAGTATTCCTTTCTTTTAAAGGCCCACTGTACTACTTGTAGCTACTTGCTCCCTCTATATAGCATCTTGGTTACAGTTCTAGCGATGTCAAATGACCATTTCATGAATTATATTACTTGATTGATGTGTATCACGTATTAGTGTCACATGATTTTATGCCTTTTAAAATAACTTCTACAAAATATTTAAAAAGATGCTAACAGCTTTCCGTAATTTGTAAATTCATCTTCAAGATCTTTGTGAAACAACCCCCTGATCCTTTTACAACTTTAGTAGCCCTACTAGATCATATTCATATATAAGACCAATTTGGAGTGAAATGCTCCATTAATGTCATTTATGTAAATCACTTGACAACACATGGTAATGTAAGGGACACAAAATGACCAATTGCCTTGGATTTGCGCATATACATGTTGATGAACATCTAGTGAATATAGCATTAGTTTATGCAGAGTAATTGAAAATCTATTCCATCTTCCTAAATGGTATTAAACGGCCTCTGCTTTCTGTTCCACAGCCCGTCGGCCGACTTGTGGACCGCATCAGGAAGTACCAGATCCTCAACGGACAGATCTTTGCCGTCCTGCGTAAATACCTGAAGGCTGGAGAAGGAGAGAATCCTCCAGTGGAGCAGATCCGATGCTACAAGCCTCCAATCCACCAGTCTGTCATGGAGGGCATGTAAAGATATCCCTCAAAGACCATCGACCTGAAGGCTGACTGCTCAAGGAATTGAATTGAGGTCTTTGTTGTTGAACGGACAACCTGGAAATATAGTGGCACATTGACATTGAAGCCTCCAATGCTGCAAGCCTCCCATTCAGCAGTCTAGTCATGGAAGGCCTTGAGGATATCCCCTAAGACCTATCAACCTGAGGGCTGCACAAGGAATGTATGTTGATGATCCTTTTTACCGGTCTCCTTACGCTGTGGACACGATGTTAGCCATTTGAAATTAATAACATAGGACGGTTCCAGACATGTTCCTTTTTCCGCAAATCTTCTTCTTAGCACAATAAGTACTAAGAAGAAGTGGCTATCTCCCTGCTAAATTTACAGATGGTTTGCGTGTAAAAGATTTGATGAGGGCTTAAGAACTATGTGTTGTGTAGAAAGGCCCCCTTTTCTTAAAAGCAGTCCCATAATAATAATGTGATTTCCACGATGTACAGGAGGTGGAGGTTTCACTTTTAAAACGTGTTTTTATGGTGCTCTTAAATGCTGGTAAAGGCATACTTTTTTGTAGGGATTGAGGTCTTTTGAAACAACTAATGTCCCAACTGTACCTGTTGCAATATATCTTAATAGAATGGTCATGACTGCACAGCTGAAATCAGGAAACAGTTGATGGTAAAACAAGCTTGAATGTACTTCATTGGAAATTGACATGCCAAAAGCATGACATAGATTCAATCGGTTTGTGGAGAGAGAACCCACAAGTTTGAGAGGACAACGTAGAACACGAGTGCCATTTAGGCTGCGACTATTGATGTTGTTTAGAATCCTTTTTTATATTAAAATAGAAAGAAGGTGATTTTATGCAAAGGAATTGATATGCATGCAGTTATATTCAGGTATTGCACAGGGTATGTATGTAGACACCCAAATAGATACTTTGTGTTTGATAGAGTTTGTAACAATCCTGTTATGGTTGGTCCAAACCTATTTGATCAAGTACTGTGTGGCCATGTAAACCTATAAGCCTTCCATTTACTCATTGTTCTTCTTAAAAAAAGTTTTGAAGTGTATTGTAGCTCGTAAACATACAAGTATGCCAGCCCTTTAAAGTTGTCAGAGTATTGTTGGGGATTCATATCATGTGTATAATCAATTTCTTTGCACCAGCATTTTATTATTTGATATGTAAAATTACTTGTATTAGATACATACGTGTAACATCTATTGTCGTTTGCAATTTACAGCCACTTGATATAGGCAGGAAATAGTGGGAAAAGGGGGATATTTTTTAAGGACTTCTTCTCAAAGTCCATTTAAGAAAAGTGATGCCTTTTATTCATGTTGATAGAAGATAATCATGATGGTCGGCCTTTAAATGCTGGTCAGGAAGTATTTTAAAGTTGATAGCGATAATACGTGAAATGCCAAATATGTAGACGTAATACTTACATGTGTGCTGCCCAAAACAGATTTTTAAATTACTAGCAAGACAAAGAATAGTGGCTTTCTTGCGGCACATACGTACGTACTACGTGAAGTTTCAGAGTAACGTAAATCAAAGTAACAATTTATTTATTATAGAATTTTCAAAAGAAATGAGCTTTGGATTTTTTGGGGGCACTGTCTTTTATACACCATGGTTTGTATGTTGTTGCAATTGTATTACTATATATATATGTACATATTTATTGGTTGTGTGTTGTTGTATATGGTGTTACCACTGTGTAGAGGCTTGTGTCTACGTCAAGATGGAGCAATTCGAGCAATGTCGAGAAAAATGTACTCGAGTTACAAAGGCTTTAATGGACATAATGGACTCTCTTGCCTAAATGCAGTAATGATTTTAAATTGCATGTACCAACCAAAAACTCATCATTGTTGATATATTCTTTTTTTACAAATTTATTGTGAAATTGATCCATGTCTAGTATTATTGAGACATTCACTACACAAGGATGACAGTTTTTCTCTCACAAGGATGATTCTTAAAGGTAAAGACCAGTATTGGAAACGCCCCCCTATCAAAAAATGAAATGGAAGCTCTCATTACCAATCATGTGAAAGAATATGTTTTGACTCATACATGATGATAAAAATTTTGCCGGGAAACCGCCTACTAATTGATATATTTGGTAAATTAGTTTATCAATTGGAACCAAATAGATGTCACGCACATGTGCGTAGTCCCATATACATCTTTTTGTGTACATTGCTTGTAACTTTACGAAGACTGGGCCGAATTTCTTATCATTTTGATGATTCCAGAACCTTGCAGTACACACCAATACTTATATGCTAGATGATCAACCCTTTCTGATCGATTCCACATTTCTTTCCCATTGCAACCGCATGACCATGTTGATTGCACAGCGCCATCTCGTGGTCAGTGTGTATCTCAATACCTAATTTTCAATTTGCAGACAGAGAATTGATGCATGAACCAAAGGCGCAGCTGGAGAAGCATTGAGTTACTGTACCATACAGCTGACCCGAGATGGCGCTAAAGTACAGTACACTACAGTACGGCTTTAAATGTCAGTCGATGATGCAAGTGGATGTTTGAAGTCCAGGAAAGGTCGAGTCTGTAATATGATATGCCTCTATGACCTATAACCTTCCCTTTACAAACACTTTCATGCCGATTCATGTATTTACCTCTTTTTTTTTCTCGGTAAATTCAGTCGAGATGAAGCAAAATAAGTTTCAGCTCGTTTGGCTTTTGAACTCACAATTGTACATGGCTCAATATCATTGCAATGAGTACATGGTGTATGGCAGTAGTTTGTAGCCTGTTCTAATGTCTTGCTCTGTTTAAATGTATAACTCCGTGTGTATTGAATATGTAAATGAAATAGTATTTATGTGAGTTAATCTTTGAATGTGTACAAACAGTAGCTAAATTTTACTTTGTGAGGCTGTTCTAAAGAGATGTATTAAAAATGCTGTTTTGTGTTTTTTTTAAAGATGTGATTATGATGAAATACCATAGGTTAGGGTCTTCAAAAGAATTACAAAACGCTTAGAAAGTTTCATCAAAACCGGTCATTATTCCCATTCAAAATAATGCTATTAGTCAGGTGGCTTAGTGAAATTACTGTTACTTGGCGGATAAAAGCATCATTTTTGGTAGAAGGCTTCTTCTTCAGGACCTACTATACAATATTAGGGTAGCAGCCCCCAGCAATAATTTCAATTTAAGGGTGTGGGGGCGAGGGCATCTTTTTGGAGCGCCCAAATAATGTTATAACATTGATTTGTAGTTAAACAAATGCCATTTTTGGTACAGGGCTTCCTTAGGACCTACTGAACGATATTAGGGTAGGAGCCCTCGGCAAGTAGATCCCAAGAGAGCCCTGTACCAAAAATGGCATTTGTACAACCACAAACCAATGTGAACTTACCTTATAAATTATTTGTGAGCTCCTAGCCTAATATCGTTTAGTAGGTCCTAAGGAAGCTCTGTACCAAAAGTGGCGCTTGTATTCGGCAAGTAGTGATAATTGATAAATTTGACGCCAAGCCACCCGACTATATGGGGTTTCAAGGACAAAAAACAGACTAATTGAAGTTAATTTTCCCATGACCAAGCAGTGATGCTGCTTGTTTTTCAAATCTTTCTGGATGTATAGTCCTATTCTCTTTCAGCATTTCACATATAACAATAATGTTTATGGTATGGTGCTGGCCAGCAATGATAGTATTTTATAAATGCTGACTCAAGTTTCAAGAGGAGATATATTATTAAAAGTGTAGCAAAAAATGTAAGCACATCATAAACAGTGTTAATTTGCACTGCATGTTGGTAATAAAATCATTAAAAAAAGACGTATTTACATCATTTACTGCCAAATTATATATTCACTGTCCCTCACAGCTACAAAGTATAATCTTGCTAACAAAAAAATTCTCAAATAACTGGGCATAGTCACATTAATACATGGTTTGAAAAGTTAGCAAATTTATCTTTCATTGACAAACATTTCAGAAGTAAATAATCACTCTGTATTTAAAGCTTCAAATGACCTTATTAACGGTACTGGTAAGTCTTTTGTAGTTTTTCACCAGGTACAATTTTTAAATCAAGCATAATCTACAATTCACCATATGTAATCATGTACCCTGATAAAGCATTTATTCTAAAATGTACTTGTGAACAACACAGCAATTCATTTCTGTTTTTTCATATTAAAAGTGAATGAATTTCACAAAAATCACGAAAGTAATACTGTTGTCATTTTTGTATCTGTGATAATCCAGTAAATCTGGATTTGAGTTACATGTATGCGCATGGAATGCTCACAAATTTTCCCATTGGTTAGATTTTGTCAAGTAGGTGACTGTTAATGGAGTAATAAAATCTACATTAACTCTGCATTTAGTTATCCTGGATTTCTACAACTTTGTTGGAATATCTTGTACTGCACGGCTCATGTATCAAGAAGTGAAGATGATGACGATGTGAACATTTAGTGCTCTTTCATTTGGTCTAATAATGGCCTAACATAAAGGAATGCATCATCTTTTTTTTTATCTATCAGCAGGTAAATAAAAAACACTTTAACACAGTAACAATTATGAAAGACCAATGAATAAAATTCATTAATTATTGCATAAAAGAGTCATTCCATGGGCTTCATATACCCCTAAAAAGAGTAAAACTTGTTTAAAACTTTGATTAGTAGACAATTAATGGCCACACATGCTATAAGTGTACTTTCATGACAACCAACGTCAGCCAATTTTTACCATGACAGGAAGATGTCTACTCTTCAAATCGATTGATATCAATACATATTAGTATACAAGATCCCATTTGAATTACAGATAATCTAATGTTTCACATTACCCCAATGTTAAGATATACAAACTGCATGTAGTACTAGTATGCAACTACTGTACCTACATCTTATAGATTAATTCCTAATACCCAGAAGCACAAGCACACTGACTTCAGATAAGAGGCCAGAAATGGTGCTTAAATACCATTATCTCATTCAATGAGCTCTTTACAAATTCACCCAACTACTTTTCAGATAAAAAAGAAATTCCTCATCACATGATGTAAAATCTGAAGAGTTCCATCCACAGAATTGGGCTTCTTGAGTACTGTCCTTGAACGGAAGAGCTGTGAAATAACAAAGGGTCTTTGATTCAATACACAGTTTACAGTACTCAAACGTAGGCCATCTAGAAATAAGTCTTAAAAGACATAGTACTTGTCTGTTTCCATGTGCTTTGCGTTATAGTTCGCATACATCAGCCATGAAATTACCAGAAAATTACCATTTATTGTGGGTGCAAATTTTGCATTCAGCAGCAGCAGAATTCATATCCTTCCGAGAACTTGCCAAGAGAGAGAGACTAAAAAGAAAGCTCTCTCATCTCTCAGACTTGCAAGTTATGATGGAGACCTTTTCTTAAAGCCCCACTGTACTGCTTGTAGCTACTTGCTTTCTCTATATAGAAAACAATGCCTAATCGGTGACCATTAGTCACCCATGATCCTCTTTTTCTTATGTTAATTGAGAGCTGAGTTGATGAGATAGCCACCTGTCAGTGACCACCCTGGGTGGTCTAATCCCTCCTAGCCAAACTAGTACTGATGGCCTTTAAAGTCGATTCTTAAGAAGTGTACGGACAGTGCACCTAATACTCCAGGCCTGCTAATCATAAAAAAGAAGTCCACTCCCGGTGAAGATAAGTATACTGTGCAAATTCCCATCAGAACCTGCGACTTCATGTCCTTGAAAAAAACACCTCGCGTTCATCATAAATCTGAGAAGAAATTTTCCTGCCGCCCCGTTTCTGTGAGTCTTTTAGAGGAGTCGTTCTTCCCTGCCTTGCCCCTGGGATCAACGTTCGTCTTCTGCAGGTGCTCAACGCCCCAGAATCTGATCTTTTCTTCGAGAGCGCAAGATGCGAGGTACTTGGAGTCAAACGAGACCGTCATGCTCTCCACTGGTAGCCCTTCGTGTTCCCCAACGATTCCCAGGAAACGGTTTGGCAGCATGTGAACAGCCCTGCAGGAAGGAAAGTGAAATGAGAAACGGAGAGCCGGTATAAACATATGAAGAGGTTAATTCCACAAGGAGCTAAATCCATCTTTGTAACTTCGGAGAAAAAAGAAATTGTTTACCAGATTTTGTACAGGCGTCTGTGGAAAAGTGATATTAGAAGGTGCATTTTCTCATAGTTGCTCCTAAAATTTAGTTAAATAATTTTGTTGAAAGACGGGTACTAAAGTGAACAATGTTCTGATATATAAACTCAATTTTCATTAAAAGTGGATTTAACTCCTTTTGGAATTAAACTCTTCATATACAAAATGTGAAAAGTCTTCTTGCAATGTCAGGAAAAGCTACAGCATAGTTTTGCCTTGAAAGTCTGTAAGCACAGGAATATGTCACGCAAGGCTAAGATTAATGGCATCATCCTTCAGTCTCATCAAAGCTTGCTGGAAGGGTTTCTACATATGAAACCAATTCCTAGAAATTTGGTTATCAGTTTGTGAAGTCATTGCCTTACTATTTATTAATTGCTTCATACATTTTTATCCCATGCTTTTGCCCAGGTTTTATGATTTGTATCATATTCTTTCCTATCAATATGGTTTTTCATTGAAAATCTATGCTAAAGGAACCTGTACATAAAGACCACCTGCCTATAAAGACCACTATTCATGTTTCCATGGAGCAGTCTTTATATACAGGTTTCACTGTATAAATATCAGTGTCCTCGAGCCAATATGACAAAAGAAGTAAACCAGGGGAGTGTTTCACAAAGATCCGAAGTTGAACTTATCTCTAACTTGGACTTAACAATTATGGAAAGCCTTTAGCATCTATGAAAATATTTTGTAAAAGTTATTTTAAAAGGGCATAAAACATGGATTCAAACCATTCATATTTTCTATGATCAAGGAGATTTCATGTTCTTGATGTGGAATTTATAAAAAGTATAATACTTGAATTTTCGCTTTTTAATATCTTTTATTTAAGGCTACAAATAGCTCTCCATAATTTTTAAGTCCAACTTAGAGTTAAGTTCAACTTAGGATCTTTGTGAAACACCCCCAAGTGACATACCTGATGGTTCCATCTAAACAACCAGTGCAGATGACGTTCTCAGTGACTGGCACACAGCAGTCTATAGAGGAGGCATGGCCTGGGAAACGATCGCTGATGTTACCAAACTCGTTCCAATTGAAGATATTCAAAGCACCGTCACTGGCACCGCAAACGACCTTCTGTCCTTTCTACAAATAATAATATCAGAGAAACATTGGACGTAGGAGTTCCTTCACTTGAGACGAGCTTAGTCTTGGTGTACTTCCATGGTCAATGACTATTCCGAGAGTAAAGGTACACCCTGTAATACATGGGGTCATGAATTTGGTTCAAATGAACATATTGGAAGCATATACAATCCTACAATATTCAGTGATCATTGTCGAGGTTGAAATCGAGTCTAAAGTAATGAAATTGTAAATAATAAACTCTTTATGTTATATAGCTCCCTCTCAAGGTCAAGATATTAATTTAGGTATAAAACAATGTTTCTTGACTAAAATTGACCGATTGGCTATTCCCGTTTAGAAATTATATATCACAACTGCATATTCTTAGACTTGCATGGTCGTAGCTACCATTGTATGGCCATAGGCGCTATTTGAAATTTATCAAAATTTACCGGGAGCACCAGTAAATTTTGATATTCAATTTTTCTCGAAACAGAAGTGTTTTAGGGGCTAAATTTTCTAGTGCTCATAATACATCCACAGGGGCATCCAAATATATATCAAAATTGTAAAGAATCACTATCCAGCCAATTTTCAAAATTTTCCAAAACTTTGTATTACCTTTAAACTGTGAACCCACCTTTACGAGAGATGCACATAGAAGCTCACTGTTAACATGTTCAGACTGTAGATCGAAACGTCTCCTCCGAACGTTGAATGCGCTCATGGTGCCATCACCACTATAGAGAGAAAACAATGTGTAACAAGATAAAGAATAAGGTGGTGATTCTTTGGAGTAGAAAACACAAAGAGAAGTTCTTAATAATCTGTTTGGACCCAGAAGGGCATTAACTAGGTGTTGAAGTATGAGTTGACGCTCTTGTTGCTCCAAGCTGACTATATTCATTTTGGCAAGTTAGTTAAAATCAATGACGAACCATTATGCAGTTAGTGGTTGATAAACACTGACAGCAATACTACTAGGATCATTTCAATGGAACATTGACTTTCAGTTATCTAGCTATCACTACAGTAGATAGCTTGATTTGGACAAATGTGTCATTCTTCAACGATTACAGGTGCTCACACTTTGTATTGCTGATATTTGAATGTAGTAGCTCAGCTATAGCCCAACTCAAAATCTCTCATAAATTCTCACCTTTCCTTCTTAAGTTGTAAAAAACACCCCCAAAAATACATCAAATTTACAAGGGGTATGAATAATTTAGTTATTCAATGTACGTGTACATGTATATCGTAATGTGATATGCACTATTAAAAGAAGAACGGAGTATCATGACCCAATAATAATAATAATAATGTAGTATTGCATACCGCTCATGTCTGGCACACCGCCACTACTGGCATTCCATTATTATTACTGGTACCCAGACTTTAGCACAGCTGGCATTCCAGCTCTTGGGCATTTTAAGAAATTAATTTCTGCCAGGTACCTATTTACCCTATCTGGGTAAATTGTGGCAAATGTAGATTCCTGTCTTGCCCAGGGACATGAGTGCTGTGGCAGGGATTTGAACCCTGTACCTTGTGGTTCACACCAATCTACTGATAAACCCCACTGACACAGGCTGTTCATCGAGATTGACCTCTACTGACCTTGTTGCAAGCAGAATCTTCTTGTCCTTTCCAACGACCAGACTGCTGATAAATTCTTCATTCTCCTTCATCTCCATAATAGCTTTCTGTGTTCTCAGATCCCACACCTAGAAATAGAAATATGTATATATCATGTCTATGTGTTTTATTATTATATCTTACTTTGCTTAAGATATCTTTCTGTATGGTATTGTAAATATGTTGTGCTCTCATTGAGATAGATAGAGTCAATTGAAATCTTACCCTACTACAACATAATCAATAGAATCTGTATTTAAAATTTACAATATATAATTATACAGAATTTGGAAGAGCCATCATAAAAGATGTTTATGAACTCAAATAAGAGAACTTGAGTGCTTTTTTGGGGGTGACATTAATTTAAGAACGAAATTCATATATTAATACTACAAATGAACTATGGCAACATTAAACCATCCCGATTTGAAAACGTAAACAAATGCTATAAACAAACTGCACAATGCTATTACTGTATCACAAGGAAGGAGGTTTGATGGCGTAGTGGTAGAGCAGTGGTCTCGTAACCAGGATGTCCCGGGTTTGAAGACAAGTTTTTGTGCTAGTGACCTTTGGTAAGGCACTCATCCTCATTACCAAGTCCCTCGGAGAGGACTTATAAGCGGTTGGTCCCCTGGTTGCTTACTTACAAGCATACACATGCTCTCTTAGCAGTCAGGTAAACAAACGATAGTAACAAGTTTAACTGAAAACAATGACCCAAGAACTTCTCCTAGTTGACAAAGTTTGAAAAGAGACCAGAGAGTCAGTCAAAGTGATAGAGTAAGCTTTTCCCCAAAAGGAACAAGACATACAAATATAAGAAAAGGAATACCTATGATTTGTGACATGCCAAACCCCCTGAAATCAAATCAGAGCAAACATGAGTACAATAGAACATAACAAATGAAAAAGAACAAAGAATTACAAGCTAAATATTGCCTGAGTCCTGAGCTTGAAATTTTGGATGGAATGGAAATTGCTCAGAGGAAATTTCTTAATTTTTTTACCCTGCATTTGATACTTTCTTTCACTCACACAAATTCTTACCTTCAAATGTCCATCATCATCACCCGTCGCGACCATATTTTCATCTATCACTGCCAAGCAGTATATGGGCACTTCATGGGCCTTCTCCAAGCTCAGCTCCACGGTGGCAGAGGCTATGTCTAGCTTCCTTACAGACTTGTCTTTGGAGACGGAGAAGATGGCTGTGTGTGAAGGAGAAGAAGAGATGTCAAAACATTGTCATCTATATTTTCATTTGTATATATCTTTTGAAGGATAATGCAGCTGAATCGCAATAGAAACCTTTCTCCAGAATTGTACACTCTCATCCCCAATCTGTCTATCCCTCCGTCCCTGCCAGTCTTTCTGTTTTGTCTCTGTCCCTAAATCTTGTTTTTCTCCCTCTCGGTCTGTCTGTCCGTCTCTGTCTACCTCTCCCTCTCCCCCTCTCTCTCTCCCTCTCCCTCTCTCTCTCTCTCTCTCTCTCCCCCTCTCTCTCTCTCTCCTCCCCTACTCTCCATCTCATTTCATTAATTTGTCTCTTTCTTCTTAATTCCCTTTCTAGCGCTTACCCATTTACTTTTACAAAACTTTATGCTATATGTGTGGGTACAATTTATTTGACACTGGTACATAATAACAGGTTCTCACCTTGAGAAGTTTCATTCAAACTGTTTACATTTTAAATCTCCTGTCTTTACAAACCATTAACATCCATCCTCTCTTCATCTTCTCTCTACAGTGCTATGATACAAGCTCCTGTGACCATTACCCTGTGGCCAATACCCTACACTGACCCAATCAATTCCTAACTTCAGCGCTGAACCCAGGCCCCCCCCCCCCTCCCTACACTTAACCCTTATCCTATACCTGAACCCAACTGAAGGTACAATTGGCATTTTGCTTTTTATAAATGCTCAACATTATTATCATCATTATCACTACAGCACAATTGCAACCCAACCCTATACCATAAATCCATGATGACCAAATATTTGCAGGAGCATATTTCAGCTCATCCTCTCCATAACAAAATTTGGAAATTAAATCAGCTCTCCCTCTCAAAATACAGAAATTGAATCAGCTCTCCCTCCCCATAACAAAATACAGAAATTATTCAAAGGACAAAATTGTAACTCACACTTCCCATCTTCTGAAAAGGCAAGAGCCCGACACGCTTTCTTGTGAACTTCTTCAAACATCAGCTCCTCATTGGGTTCTTCTGCTGAGTAGGAATACCTGAGAAGAACATGCGTTTTGTTTGGTACATTTCATATGCAGTTCAATAACATTTACAGGGATTTAAAGATAAAGTTGAGTTCTGGTCATTCAATTGTATTGTGAAAGAAAAGGTTGATCATCTAGTATATAAGTATTGGTGTGTACTGCAAGGTTCTGGAGTCATCAAAATGATAAGAAATTCGGCCCAGTAGTGATTCAGTTACTAGCACTCTACACAGAAAGATGTACATGGGACTATGGGATATCTATATCCAGTCCGGATAGAAATAGTCATTTTACCAAATATATCAATTAGTACGCGGTTTCCCGGCAAAATTTGTATCATCACGTATTGGTCAAAACATATTCTTTCACATGATTGGTAATAAGTGCTTCCATCTCATTTTTTGAGAGGGGGGCATTTCCAAAACTGGTCTATACCTTTAAGCAAGGATCTGTACGTAATATCATAATTTGAGTAGGACTACACCAAACTGAACACATCACATATAAATAGTACCTTTATCAGTCCCTTATCTCTCATGTCCATAGCTGTGATTGATATCAATCGCAAATAAGTTGCGATTAATATCAATTCTTTAAAAGACGGGACCCAGATCAATAAGGAATCAAACGGTTGTACTAACATTGTGATGGAGCCATCCATGAGACCTGTAGCTAACATATTTCCCTTAGGGTGGAACTGAAGTGACATCACACTCTCATCACAGGTTATCGTCTTCGGCAATTTGACCTTTGACCAAAGAAAACACAAGACAATTCTACTGATAACTTGGAGGAATTAAAGGAATTGGACTGAATTGAACTGAAATAATATAATCACACTGAACACAGTTATGCAGCCCTCCAGCTCAATTTCAATAGAATTAACAAAGTCACATACGTAATATAAATACATTGATATTCTGGGGAGCTCTAAAACTGTGTCTGCTCACTTCAAGAGTGTATCGAAGCCGAAGGTTACTTCTTTGAAGAATACAAGCTTTAATTTTGTTGTATCTCTGATACACTATAACATGAATGCTTTACCCGAGAGCTAGGGGAGTGTCCTTTCTACTTGGCTGCTGGTAGTGAAGTGGCTTGGAAGTTTACAGCAGTGACATTCTTTCTATAGTGGTAATGGTATGCTATTCAGGTATCCATGTATTGTCCTAATGTCACTGGCTGGAATGTGTATTAACTTGGTATGTGCATTAAACCTGGCATGTCTATTATGTTGTTCTATACTTAACACATTTATGTTTACTTTGACTCGGGTCAATCATTCCACATATTGTGGTTAAGCTTAACAACTTTTATTCAGAGCCTTAAAGAACATACCATATGCATAAGTAAAAAGAGCAAAAATTTCTACACAAAGTGCATCCATCTTCCTTGCGGGACTATATTGCGTTAGAAGTCAGGAATTTTAAAAAGGATTACCGTATAAGCTTTGAAATCCTTAAATCAGCAAGAGATTACAAATCATTATTTTTCAATCAAAATTGACAATTCTAAAAGCTTTTTGACTAAGTTCCTAACTTTCCACGCATAGATATTTGCTTTTAAAGACAATACATTGTATGAGAGCAATGTAGCAATAATAGAAAAAAGGATATTGTTGCCAATTTGAAGAAAAACATGTGAAAAATTTAGTCCTTAAAGAGAAGGTTGAGTTCTGGGAAGAGGTGAAAAATAATTTGTGAGCGTTATCATTTTCATTATGCAAGTGTGGAAGAACATCAGATAAGACATGTTCCCTGAAAATCATGGCTCTTCAATTGCCTTCATATTCTAAATATGTCATGTAGCATCGTAAAAATCCAGGGTAGGATTTTTACGCCATGTGTTTGTGTAGTCCCATATACATCATTCTGTGTACAGTGTTTGTATCTTTACCAAGACTTTGCCAAGACTTTATCATTTTGATGATTCCAGAACCTTGCAATTATACACACAAATTCTTATATGCTAGATGATCAACCTTTTCTGGTCGATTCCACACTGTTTCTTTCACAATGCAATCGCATCCGGAAAGGTTTAATAATAGGAAATAGCTGATGAATCTTAATCATGTCAACATACACAGAACCCAACGAAGTAGAGAAATAAGAAGCTCAACCTGCCTACAAAAATAGAAACTTTAGAAAGGCATCAAAATTTCATCGTTCATTTGTTAAAATCTTGTTTTAAGCAAGACAGCCTGGCTTTACGAACCTCGGGTAGAAATCTATTTTCATCTTCCTTTTCTTCATCTTCTTCATAGCTATCGTCACTGTCGTCACTGTCATCATCACTGTCATCATTACTGTCATCATCATCCTCATCATCACTGCTAGCTCCAGGTGACTCGTCGCCATTCTTTGCAGTTACGTCTAAATTTGTGCCAGCCTAATTCAAAAGAAAATTATGCAAAAGAAGAATATGGACAGCAGATATTGCAATAAATAGAGTTTTTTAAAAATAATTGTTTATGGTTCAAAAATTAATTCATCATGTATCAGTTTTGCTGCCTTGTTTTTGTTTTTTTACTTTAAAAAGGAATTACTTTCATAAAATCAAAATTAATTTGTAGGTAGGTTTGTAAATGCAAAATTGTGAAGAGACAAATGGCAAATCTATTCATAATAGACAACAAAAAAAACTAGTGTTTCATTTCTTTCAGATAAATGTTAAATAGTTATCTTGCCAATTTACAATACTACAATTAACAATATATTATCAATGCAACTTATTTTGTTTCATCTCATCTTAGTCTTCTGAATGTCAGCCATGAAAGGGGAGGAAAGCACTATAGTTCTAATCTGGGAATATCTACATTTATGTGGCACTAATGTAAAAAGAACATAAAAATCTATGTACCAGTAAGAAGGATTTCATTTAGCTGAATGACCTGATTTGAGGACTGTTCAACTATACTCTGCAACAAATTAGGGGTTTCCAAAATGAACATAAAGTATTTGAATAATTGTTTCCCTTTCTGCTAGAATGATACCCTAGACAATCCAAAACAATCTGTTATCCATACAAAACCTATCCTGTGAAATCTCACACAAGGCCTGTCTTCATCAGCTCCAGTTGCCTAATAACCCGCTATTTTATCTATCCTGATCGCAAATTAACCAGTTAATTTGCGTCTTCATCAGCCCGCAGTTGCAATTAGTGGGGTATTTGGTAGAGAAAATATCCTGAGAAATCTTAGTCCTGTTTTCAAAATATCCCGCTTATTTGCGAAATCGCGGGCTAATTTGCACCTGTCCGAACTAGTATGTGATGAGCGTATAGGTCTGGGGAGGACGCACTTTCGAGTTTCGGGATAATATCCCGAGTCTGAAAATAGCGGGTTATTTGGCAGACTCAAGCTGATGAAAACAGGCCTACTGGTACAGCTATGTAGGAGTACACGGGTATCATTGATAACCATGTACATCCATAGGTGCTCTAGAAATAAAGTCTACTTACGCTGCCAGTGGACGTTGATGGTCCAGCCTCATTCTCCATTTCGCCCTCATCCAAAGATGACTTCTCAGAGTCAGAGTCTCCCGAAGCATCTTGCTCCTCTGAAGACATGTCTTGCGTCTGTCTGTCCACGATTCGTGTCAGAGATAACACAGATTGATTCCTGGGAATTGGGATTATGAAAGACCGATAAGACACAGTCGAAACAAAAGGTACTGTAAAACTGAAGTAAATTAATTCATAATAGTCTAAAATTCTAAATCATGTTTGTATGAATCAATCACCATGCAGTAGGGGTGCTAGTCCGAGAATAAGGATCCGCATTTTCCAGACGATTCTTAATTCCGAGCCGCGTGCTAGGGATGCGAAATACGGATTTCGCGATGATGCTCCTTGATGCATTTTGACTTTGTGAAGAGACTTTCATGTTATGAGAGATAAATCCTCAGGAAGACTGACAACTGCAACTCATAACAGTAGACTGTAAACATGGGGTATTTTAACAGGAACCCTACACCCGCAGAGCGCCAAAGAAAAAAAAAACGTCCGCAAAAAGGCGCAAAAAAATGCAGACGATCCTCAGTTCCTCACTTTTTAGAATGTGATATGTCCGAGTTTAAGAGTCCGAGGTTAGTAGTAGTACAGAGGCCAGACACTACTCTCCCCAGACACTAGACATGCATGCTAGACATTGTCTAGCATGACACAGCTACAGTTAAGTAGATTGTCTAGAAGTTCTTCTAATTAATCTAAGTTCTTAGTTTACTTTAACATCATCATGATTGATAACACTCAGAGCTCAATCACAAAAATGTATAAATAATGGCAATTGAATTATGTTTGAGAACCCTCTGGATCGTTCCCACTTACCAGTATCTGACTTCACAGTAAATATGGGCATGAAACGTCTCCGACAATCACACAGTGACAATACTTAGTCAGTAGCTATGCAGTGAAGATGTGATGTGATATCTGTGTACAAACACATGTGCATATTATATTGCGTAATTATAGGATACATGAATGTTCGCGTTACATGGGACTAGACAACTCGGCTATGCGAGATATCGAACGCGGACAACTCGGTTCAAAAAGCTGCCACTTCGGTACAGACATTCCGAGCCGTGAGGTGCCGAAGCCTAGTACATATAGGTGGGATCCGATATCGATCGAGGAAGCTACATACGAAACCTGAATAAACAAAAAGGGTTTTTTAGCAGTATCTGTGCAATCACTGCTTGAAAAAGTTATCGGTTGAACTTTCACTCGCCTTAAACTTTCGCGACTTTTGTGATGTAGTATATATGTGCCAATTAATTTGTCCAGTTCGCGAAAGTTTTTCCTGCAAAAGAATGATAATTGATTAAATCTAACTGTTTTTCTATGTTAATTGTGAACAATCTGTGTGATGTTTATTACGTCGCTGATGTTTCAAAGCTAAAGAAGACCATTTAACTTCATGAAAAAAAAAGGGAGTATATCAGCTCCCAAAGCATGTAATTTATGAATTAAGTCAGACAAATGAGTAGATCGTACCGACTAAGGTAAAAGGAGAGTAAGTGGTTGGGCCCGAGTGGGTTAGTTTCTCGATCTTCCTTTCAATTTTGGGAAATACATTTTACTTTTAGTTATTGGTATCTTTTATTTTTCTAAAGAAATTTACACATGAATGTTAAATTTCAGCATGGTAGTTACAAAAAGTTCAATATTCCTGTCTTTACATCATTGTGTGTCTTGTGATGTACAGTCATAAGTTTGGCTCACCTGAATTGGGGATTTGTTAACTTGGATCCCCGCCCCCCCCCCCCCCCCACTCAGTGTTATTTAGGGTACGCATATGCTCATTCCCTCTTTTTGAAAGCACCCCCTGAGGAGTGCCAACATTTTCGAACCCCCCTTTCGCGGGCTTTTCGCAGGCTTTTCCTGCCTTGGAGACCCCCCTAAATCAGGAAAAATGCTCAATGTACCCCCCTAAATTCGGAATAATTTCTTAGGAGTCCAAAGAGATGAGAGAAAAAAAAGAAAAAAAAACCCTTTTTAAAGAAATCTCCGGGTGAAAAGTCAAATACACCCCTAATTTTTTTACAATTCTCGGGCCGGACTTTGTCGCACGAAAAGTACCCCTTTACCAGACATTTTGGCAACACGCATGCGGTCATTCCGACCCCTGAGTGGGAGGGGGCCGGGCTTGGGTCCGAGTCAAGCTCACAACAACTTCAAGTCAAATCTTTTTTGGCCTCGATGGGGTTCTTGCATGGCCTACAGTAATCGACAACTCGGTACATAAAAATCAATACCGAGCTGGCAGGGCCTAAATTTGAATCGGGCCGAGATGTCTCGTAACCGGGAGAGACAATAACATCCGCGTTTGTTTGACCGTATTATACTAGACCGAAAGCTTCAGTCTCTATAATCGTCGGTTGTTCCACTGAGACTACGTCTGGCTCCACTAGACCTCCGGTTATAGAGACAGAACGATCGCCTATGCCAGCCTGTGTTGAACTTATTCCGCTAGATTTTAGCCGTTAGGCCCCTCCCACAAACATGAACAAACTTGCCACGGCCGTATTGTTATGCCCCCAAAATCCCCCAAAATGTCATTTTACCTCGTTCATTTCCAATTTTAAATTAGGCCTAGGCTATAATACATCGGTTCCACTTACTAACTTGATTGATATAATCCGTTTAATGGTCCCTTTTAAGGAAATTATCGGTCAAAATCGACATCCATGTTGAAAATCTTGCAAGCCGTGTTAAACTCTCGCTGCCGTCAATCTCATCCCTTCTAGTCTACGCCGAAGGCAAAATGATTATGAAGGAAAAACTGTGATAACGCCATTACGAACGTGTAGATGGCGCACAGTTTTTTCCTTCATAATCATTTTGCCTTCGGCGTAGACTAGAAGGGATGAGATTGACGGCAGCGAGAGTTTAACACGGCTTGCAAGATTTTCAACATGGATGTCGATTTTGACCGATAATTTCCTTAAAAGGGACCATTAAACGGATTATACCAATCAAGTTAGTAAGTGGAACCGATGTATTATAGCCTAGGCCTAATTTAAAATTGGAAATGAACGAGGTAAAATGACATTTTGGGGGATTTTGGGGGCATAACAATACGGCCGTGGCAAGTTTGTTCATGTTTGTGGGAGGGGCCTAACGGCTAAAATCTAGCGGAATAAGTTCAACACAGGCTGGCATAGGCAGTCGTTCAGTCTCTATAACCGGAGGTCTAGTGGAGCCAGACGTAGTCTCAGTGGAACAACCGACGATTATAGAGACTGAAGCTTTCGGTCTAGTATTATACAAGCACACTCACCCGGAACTTCGGGGGAGCTACGCTACTGTTATTGCTAAACTAGCGGAATAGATTTCGATGATACATCTTTAATTTGCTTTGTGTTATCTCTGCCTCAGCTCACCACAGCAGCTGCCGTCAGCTAGCTAGCTCAGCGTCGACCTCAATTCAGCGAAGTCTATTTTGTAAACAGTAAACTCATCTCGTCTTTCTTTGACATCCGGCGTAAGAGAGGTTGATAAATTAAGATTAATTCTTATGTTTACAATAAGTATCAATAAGTATAAATGTGCCTAGAAAAGACCTTAGTACAACAAATTAATGTGTGAAGGTTAGGTGATACCCAGGGTATGTCTTGATTTTGGGACTAACTGAAGTGAATTATAATTACCAAAATGGGAATTAGATCTAGATTTCATGTTTTCTTTTCTCATTGTCTACTACAAATAAAAATTTGCTTTGAATAGTCTAGATTCTATTGCAATTATGTCTTTTTGATAAGATTATGATCACTCTTAATTTCCTCCTTCCCATCCATCTCACTTTTTAACCTCATTATTAGCCTCAGGAATTAAGGCCGATCTACATCAAGGAAGACAGCTACCACAGTTTGACGGGATTGATCCGGTGTATTCTAAGATGATGCTGAATGAGGGGAGGTTCTCGTCCAGCAAGGGGATCCATGTCACCGTATCTCGTCTGATCACCATCATGATGTGCGTCATGGTGGTCGGTTTCTTGATGAGTATTGCTCTGGCTCTCATCTACAGCTTTGAGGCGACAACATCCACGCATTGCAGGGTACATATACTTTTTAAATTCAGTATTATTCATCCAAATTGAATAAATGGAAATGTTACATATGTGATTATTTTATTTTTACAAGCAATAAAAATATATATGTAAATAATAAAAACAAAAACAATTGAAATTAATATAAGTGATACACAAACGGTGACATATACATATAGTAGAGTCACATTAAAGTCAAATTACACATAGCATGAACACTAAGAAAGAGTAAAACTAAAGGGGGAAAGGGGGTGAATAGAGGAAGAAGGACAGATGATCAAGGTGGGGAGAGAAGGGAAGGGTATATTATGAGAAAGGGAAAGAGAGATGATACGAAGTGAAGAAATGAAGAAGTAGGGATGATTGTAGAAGAAATAGATAAAAGATGTATCTTGAAATTAAAAAGGTATTGGACAAGAAGTTATGAAATCTCACTATGAAATTAGTAAACACTTTCTTATCTTAAAGAATATTAAAGAATAGACGGGGATATTAAATATGTAAAGACACTGTGTATATGTATAAATCAAGAACTTATTATTATTTAATTAACATATCTGGCATTGTAGATCATTTATTATGAACTTCATGTCTACAAGTTTTGTAAGAATGTCATTTTATTTAATTCCATGTTTGTTCTGATCAGGTAAAAAACTACCTCCCGTCTATCAGCGCAGCCATCGCCGAACCCCCATCCTCCTACGTGTGGCGGTTTGTGATTGTATTATGCTCTGGACAAAGGCTCTTCTGCGTCGCATTCCACTACGGCTTATACGCGAGTGTGAACTCGCCCAACGTCTATTACACGCTGCTGTGCAAGGCATGCTTCACTTGTGAATTGGTGGAAAACTTTGCCCTTATAGGATTAACATGTGTGTCGTCCTCCGAAAACTTTCGTGAGTATGATTATTGTTACTATCAGGTATTAATTCATTAACATCACTAACTGTTAATCTGTTCGCGGTTTATTGTTTGCCTAATAACAATATTTTATAAAATGAGTCAAACTAATAATAATAATAATGATAATAATATTGATATTGATAGTAATAATAATAATAATTACAATGAAAGATTGTGTTGGTAATTACTCTGGATATATGAACAAACATTGAAAATAATGTAAATTTAGAGAAAATATCTATATAATGTGAATGTTTATTGTCTCTATACTCTTTTTATATTGTATATGTATCATGTCACATGTACATTGTATTTTATTTTTTTCTGTGAATAAATTTGCATTTTAACACAACAAATTTCCTTTAGGACCAATACATTTGAATTGAATGAATTGAATTGAATTGAACTGGAATGTACACAGCATTCCATTGCCAGTTAGTGATGTCAGTGAATTAAAATCTTAAACGTTAGAACACTGTTTATGTTCCAGGTACGTATTTCTGTGCCACATTTTGCTATTGGTTAAAACTTCTTTTGTAAAATACTATCATGTTGTTTTAGTAGAAAGTAAGTACATGTATTCAGTTTGTTTGAAGATTTTCTATTAGTTTATAAAAGTTAAGATCATCTATGATATAATATAACATTCTGCTTTTCTTTCAGCTGTTCATGAAAACATGTTCATTGTTTTCCAAGTATGTTCAATGATCTTCATGGTCCTGATGTGTGCTGTACACAAACTAGCGATTAGCAGCGGTATACCACCGTCAAAATCAGTGAGTGTGAATTAAGGAGAAGTTTGAGTTCAGGGGGGTGTTTCACAAAGATTATAAGTCAAACTTAACTCCAAGTTGGACTTAAACATTACGGAGAGCCATTTGTAGCCTTTTAAATAAAATATATTAAAAAGCAAAAATTCAAGTATTTTAGACTTTTCATGAGTTCCAAATTAAGAATATGATATCTCCTTGAAAATAGAAAATATGAATGATTTGAATCCACATTTAATGCCTTTTAAAATAACTTTTACAAAATATTTTCAAAGATGCTAACAGCTTTCCATGATTATCAAGTTCAACTAATAGGAACTTTGTGAAACACCCCCCTGGTAAAGATGAAAAGCAATTTATGTTTGAAAGAATAATAATAGAAGAAAGGTCCCTTGAATAGAATTGCTCTTCAACTGTCCTCATATACAAAAAAATGATGAGAGGTGAAGAATGCAACTGCAGTGTAAAATACCTATGCATTACAGACATACTTTCAATAGTATATATAAAGTGCTGTATACGATAAGTGGAATATTATTATTATTATTATTATTATTATTATTATCTATGTAAAGGTTTCTGCAAATCAGTGAGTCTTCAATAAAGCTTTTTCTTATGACAAGTGGAAAGCTGTTCCTAAGCTTTGCAAAAGGCACTAATTAAAAGCGCCATATCTACGAGTAACATTTGATTCAGAGTGAGGCTTATTTAGGAGGAGCCTAGCTGCCTTTTCAATCTCTAGATCGACAGTTAATTGAATATACCGCTAAACTTTATAGGCATCTTGACTTGTGGCATACCCATTCTTCTTTCATTACATCTTGGACGGTAGTGCTAAATTGATAAAGCTAAGGAGTAGAGAAATAGTCTCCAAAATGCTGCCTTTAACACAAAATTTACTTTATTGTCCCATGAGAGTGCAAAATGATGCAATTATGGCTCAAAATGTCAAGGCATGAAAAGTCAGAATTACACAAATTAATTTATTGTCCCTTGTGAGTGCAATATGATGCATTTATGGCTTCTAACCATCATTGGGTGGTAAAGAGTAGTGACAATCCTTGACTGATACCAGAATATTCAATTCAATTCAAAATCATTTTATTCTTGAACATCAAATAAAACATCAGATTGTACAATCGTAAATAATTACATTTGGATTCGTAAATAGTTACATTTGTTTCGTAAATAATTACATTTGATATTTTGTATTAACAGGAGCAGAGCACCTTGAATAGGCTGTACTTGCATTGTGGAACCAACGTATCATCATTCTTCATCGCAATCTACTTCTACTTCAGACACACCACCCATTGTGAAACTGGAAGTAAGTTTACTAAGAGTATTAAAGGGCAAGTTCACTCCAAAAATAACTTACTTTCAATTAGAAGCAGGAAAATCAGACAAACCAATCAAAAAAGGTTAATACAAAAATTCACAACTTTCTTATTAGTTATCAGATTTTGCTCAAACTTTTATTGATTGGTTTGTCTGATTTTTCTTCTTCTTTTGAAAGTGAATTATTTTGGGAGTGGACTTGCCCTTTAAAGATGTCTATCATCTGGTGGTAGCCAGAAGGGCAGGGACTTGTAAAATCTTACAAAGAAATAATACCCTTCTGGCTTTTGATAACTATTCATACCAATAATCATAACAATTATTCATACCATCACCAAGGTTTCTCTCTTTTTTTAAGTTTGTGAAAAATTGATCTGTGCCGAAATTATGTTTATTTGAAATGTGACAACTTAAAGCGTACATTTAAAAGTATTCAAGAAAGGCCCTAATTCAACCAGTCCATCTTTCATTCTTAGTTATGTTTATTTTATTAAAACATCAAATGTACAATGTTGTGCTTAAATTGTTTATTTCTGCATACATTGTATATTTTTAAGGGATGTGAAATTAAAAAATGAATTGTAATATAAAAAGGGGTATGAATAATGAAACCACCCCATTGTGTATATCAATGACGAACCCTTGGGCTGCTAACATAACATGGAACTTGTTGAAATAATATTTCCTTTAAAATAATTGATGGTACCTTTAAGCAAGAATTAGAAAACATCTTTACATGTTTTAGATGATTTTAGATGATTTTTGATAGAGCATGCTCTCCTAAACTTGAACATTTCTTTTTTCTTCTCAACGAATCCAAGGCCCTTTACCAGAAAACTATCAAAAGAACACCTTCAATCTTTGGTTATTGTTAAGAACTGTCTCCTTTTCATGTAACAAAAACCAACAGCCCTTGTAAGAAGTCTCCCCTTATTGTGACACTGCAAAAAAATAAAAATATATATATATACATATTACCATATTGATGAAGTTTACCAATGAAAACCTTTTTTATGATAAATTTTTCATTGAAATGGACATCGTTTCTACTACAAGTATTTATTTGAATTTTTCTATTTCTGCAGTGTACACCATATTTGCCTTATTTGAGTACATTGTGGTGCTTTCCAACATAGCTTTCCATTTCATCGTGACTTTCAACTTTCAAGAGAGAGAACTTGTGCTAGGTAGCAGGATCCATGGCAAATAAAACTTTTACTTCAGGTAAATTTTTCTTCTCTATGTATTATTTATTTGAATTTTTCTATTTCTGCAGTATACACCTTATTTGCCTTCTTTGAGTACATTGTAGTGCTCACCAACATAGCTTTCCATTACATCGTGACTTTCAACTTTCAAGAGAGAGAACTTGTGCTAGGTAGAAGGATCCATGGCATATAAATCTTTACTTCAGGTAAATTTGTCTTCTCTTCACACCACTATCTCCCCCCCCCCCCCCCCCCCCCCTGCTCCTCTTTCTCAGCATTGTGAGCATCTGTAAAACGGCGCCTGGCTGGAATGCTCCCCAGGGAGTGGAAAATGTGCATACATTGTGTACGGGCAAACCTAAATCCGATGACAAGGGTAATAGTATATAAAGTATGTATGTAAAGTGCTTAGAGACATCACCGATGTATTAAGCGCTATATAAAAGCAGAATATTATTATTATTTAGGACAAGGAGGCCATTTGACCCTTGTGACAGGTTGCCAACCACGTTACATTTTGGAAACATACTAATACATAAATGCCATTATTACCTGCCAGTCTGACTTAATCTTGCTGTCAATGTTATTAAGGATATATTTTATGGCATAGCCACCCACATCTACCCCCCCCCCCCCCCCCCCCATCGAAATTTACCATTTATTATTATTTTCTCTATTATTTTTTCTTTTTCATTTGTTTGCCTTTCACAGACAACTCTCAGCGATTGTATCTTCCAACTCTTCTTCTTTCATCTCTGCTCAACTCATGAAGTCATTAGAGGGAGACAAACATATATGTAAGCTCTGTAATCTCTGCACAACTCATGAAGTCATCATATGATAACTGACAGTAGAGGGAGACAAACATCTCTGTAAGCTCTGTAATCTCTGCTCAACTCATGCAGTCATTAGAGGGAGACAAACATATATGTAAGCTCTGTAATCTCTGCTCAACTCATGCAGTCATAATATGATTACTGACAGTAGAGGGAGACAGACAAACATCTCTGTAAGCACCGAGAATATTTTACTGTGTAAATCCAGTTACCGTTGCAATTCTTTTTGATTGTGTCTCGCTTTCAAGTGCATTATTAGTAAGACAAGGTTGTGTGTGATTTTGATTAATTGAGGATATGTAAGAACAAAGAACTCACTTTGAAAACTAGTAATGAGGTTGCAATTATTTTGATTTATCACTTTTGTTATCATGTTCAGTTTTATTTCATAGATTTGTGCACCATGTCTCATTTTATTTGAGATATCTCATTTCACTTTCACAATATGTATTTAACGCTGTTACAGATAACGTATGATGTGTGCCTTTAAATATATCCCATCTCCTATCTGTAACAGGTCAACGTTGTACTGTCTTATATACATCCATAGTTTATCAATAACTAATCAATATTTTCACAGGAAGTGAAGAGAAAGATACAAGAAAGTTGAAATGTTAACAAACGTCATTCTTCTCAAGAAGTGTGATTTACTGTGATAGACATATTTTGAGTAGAAGCTATGACACACTTGGCATTTTAGCCTAAACATGACATTCCACAGCTTTGAGAAAGTTTATGACGTACTTACTGGTCAAGGGTCAGCATCTCCCAATAGAGAGTGTATACCGGTCAAGGGTCAACATCTCCCAATAGAGAGTGTATACCGGTCACTTGGTCAAGGGTCAGCATCTCCCAATAGAGGGTGTATACTGGTCACTTGATCAAGGGTCAGCATCTCCCAATATAGGGTGTATATTGGTCAAGGGCCAACATCTCCCAATAGAGAGTGTATACCGGTCACTTGGTCAAGGGTCAGCATCTCCCAATAGAGGGTGTATACTGGTCACTTGGTCAAGGGTCAGCATCTCCCAATAGAGGGTGTATATTGGTCAAGGGTCAACATCTCCCAATAGAGAGTGTATACCGGTCACTTGGTCAAGGGTCAGCATCTCCCAATAGAGGGTGTATACCGGTCACTTGGTCAAGGGTCAGCATCTCCCAATAGAGGATGTATACTGGTCACTTGGTCAAGGGTCAGCATCTCCCAATAGAGGGTGTATATTGGTCAAGGGTCAACATCTCCCAATAGAGAGTGTATACCGGTCACTTGGTCAAGGGTCAGCATCTCCCAATAGAGGGTGTATACCGGTCACTTGGTCAAGGGTCAGCATCTCCCAATAGAGATGTTTTTGTGTGCAGTACTCGCAATTTCCTTCTCATGTTGGTGATGCCAGTAACTCAAAGTATACAGCGATTCTTTTGTAGTGCAAGATCAACCCATTTTATTCTACCCAGTGTCTTTCACAAAATAATCACATTACCATAACTCTTCTTATCTTACAAATTATTCTCCTAAAGAAAGTGTATCCCCTTTTTATCAGGGATTGATGATACCCTAAAACTGATATTCTAAAAAGTCATACCTTCATAGATTCTGTAAGCCTGTAACTTTTATTCCAAGTATGAAATATTATGGTGTAGTTACAATGCATGCTAATAGCACCATTTGAATTTTTATCCATTGCCATGACTCCAGAAAAAATGTACTTAATGTTTCACTTCATATTTTTAGTTCTTATATACAGTCAAACCTGTCCATAGCGACCGCCCATGGGAAACACAAAAAGTGGCCTTTGTAGATGGGTTCCTTTAGTTCATGATTGAATGAGAAACCATTTTCAAGGGAAACAACAAATGTGGCCTTTGTAGGCAGGTGGTCTTTGTAAACAGGTGGTCACTAAAGCAGGTTTGACTGTGTATATATGTACATCATATTTTACTCTACATCAAATGCTGTATGTATACCGCCTTCAAAGTAGTCAGATGAAACAGAGTGAACCCACTTTATATCAACTTCTATGCAATGTAATTGCTTGTTTAGTATGTTGACAGTCAGGTGTCAGTCCTGTTGTTGTGATGGTGGATTTATGTTGCATTCTTAATTGGAACATAATGTATTGAAGTCATTGTTTTTTTGTGTGTGCTGGGATTCTTCTGTGATTTGTGTAAGTAATTTCCTAAGCCCTCAGGGTGACCATATGGTAGGAATACTCCCCAGAGAGTGGAGATGATGCGCATTGTGAATCCAATGACCGGGGTAATAATACCTGTAAAGCGCTTAGAGACAGTGTTCCGCATTAAGTGCTATATAAATCCAGATGATTATTATTATTATAATTATGATGCTGTGATTCTATGTAGACATAACAGTACATGTTTATGGTCTGCAAATGTAGACTTTGTAGATCTTGTAGATCTTTCATGAACCTTATTTCTTGCATTATGTTGTATATATATTGTACTAGAGGCTTTTAGGACACCTACAGTAAGCAGTGGTCAGGATGAGGATCATGAAGCAAGTGCCATCGATATTCATTTTGACATATGTAAAATGAAATGAATTAATGAAATTAAATATTGTTGAATGATACAATCAAATTAACCTATAGAAAGAGGCTAAGTATATCCAGTTATTTTAGTTATGAAGGCTTGAAAAATCAAATAAAATGCTGTAATTAGTTGAAATATATTACATTCCTTGTACAATGCCTGGAACATTGTTTTACCGGCCCTCTTGCGCTCTCTCTCTCTCTCTCTCTCTCTCTCTCTCTTTCTCTCTCTCTCTCTCTCTCTCTCTCTTTCTCTCTTTCTCTCTTTCTCTTTCTGCCCCTCTCACTCTTTGTCATTTAGCACAATTTTTTGGGGTACAGATTCAGATAATCACTTCAATTGTAAGTCTTTCTATAAAAAGAAATCAAATCCTTGTATTGTGGTATACGTAGAAGGGTCAAATGTTCATTATTTCTTCTCATTTCCCCAGTGCCTTGTATTTCAAAAACGATTTCAAAGACGCACACAAATTTAAAAAATAGAAATAAAAAAAAGAAAAGCCTCGTACATCTTTTCAAATGCGCAAACAGTACGATGACGTGTTGATGCAAGCTTAGCTAGAGGCAGCACAGTAGGGTATTGGAATTACCCTTTAAAAAAAAAATTGTATTTCTTGAAAGTCTTTCCGATCACGTTTCCGTTATATTTCACCTTGGTTTATTATTTTCTTTGTTGGTTTATTAAGCATGTGCAATGCAGAGACCATGTGTAGTCTGTAGCAACTATAGAACTTGATTATATGTTTTTCATATTATATTTTTTATCGCAGGAGTACTATTTTTGTAGTCGTATCAAAATCTGCTTGATTTTCCTTTTGCAAAATAGTTGTAATGATATTTGTCTTGTCTTATCTGTGAGAGGAACTTTTATGTTTTATTCTTTTTAATTATTTTGTTGTTGTTGTTTTTAGGCTAAGAAATGGTGGTCTCCTCTGACCTAAGATCAAAGAAAACTCATTCAGTTTTAACCATAGAGGAATTTATTTGTACATACACATACTACATGAAATAGTATGTGACTTCAGAGATCATGCAATGAAAATAGTTCAATTTGATAGCTATTTCTAAAAAAAATTGACCTGTGTATACTTATTAGTCAATGGGGCAAGAAATGATCTTTTAAGATACCAGGGGGTGTTTCACAAAGATCCTAAGTTGAACTTATCTTTAAGTTGGACTTAAAAATTATGAAAAGCCATTAGCATCTATGAAAATATTTTGTAAAAGTTATTTTAAAAGGCATAAAATGTTTATTCAAATCATTCATATTTTCTATTATCAAGGAGATTTCATGTTCTTATGTGGAATTTATGAAAAGTCTAAAATAAATGAATTTTTGCTTTTGAATATATATAGTTCGACTTAGAATCTTTGTGAAACACCCCCTGGGGTTGCCAGTAGCTTGATTAAGGCCTTGATTGGAAGTACATGTATTACTGTAATTTTGATGTCATTATTGTTCAGATTTCTGTATTTTTCTTAAATTTTAAAGTGGAAGGGATCAGTTTGGGGTTCATATATTGCTTGCCAACTATTACCAGGCGAAAAGAAAAAATGAGTTGGCTGAAGGTCAGTTATTTAGACAGGTCCTTGAGAATGTTCTTCAATTATTCCTTTTGTAAGCTTACTCCCTATTCTCATTTGTAGTGGTTTACATTTCAGGATACAAATAACCTTTTCTTAATGTTTTTGTTTGTTATTTTGTTGATGCTGTCAATCATATGTTCAGTTTCCTCAAGGCCCCCTTCAAACGAATTTCAGATCAGATTTCTTTTATGGCTAACAAATGTAAAGCAATTATCCATTTGTACTGGCAGCTTAGGAGAAGGTTTTTCAGTGTGCAAAGTCCTGGCAAGAACATTTGAGATCAGATGAAGGACAGTTGGACACGAAAGATGAACGCTGCTATAATTTTTCCTTTCATAAGGTAGAGAATTTGACAAGAAGGTCAAACTAGTGTCAAAACATGGCCAATACCTTAGGTTTATATTTTCATTTGCACGCATTTGAACCCCTGTCATGTTGTAATACATTGGATTTCAAGTAGATTACCTTTTTTTGGAAGGGGGGGGGGTGGGGAAATTATCCATTTCCCAGAGATGAGCAGAATCAAACCCATTTTCATGTTTCTTTCTTTCTTTTTCTCTCCCTCTGTCCTTCTTTCCTTAAACCGTTGCTATTAATGTCACATGCAGGGGATTAAAGAGAAAATAGTCATGTTTACATACAGTCTTGTATTCTGTTATGTAATATTCCTTTGTTATACATTCCACTTTTGATAAAACAAGAAGTTTCCCATCTACTTAGACAATCCCACATCGATGAATATTGTAATTTACGTTATTTTTATATATTTCAAAAAAAAAAAATTGCAGCAAGTACGAAATTACGTGTGACCTGTGTAAGCGGATTTGCGGCAATAATGATTTTTTTTTTTTAATAAAGAATTTTTTCTTTTGCCTGCGCATCCACTATCTTAAAATAAAAGAAAAAACTGATTCATTTTACGTTCAATGAAGATCTACTTCTTGTCCTCATTACTTTGTGCTATTTTGTATAACAACCATCCTATGAGCCTGAATGCAGTACATCATTGTGTAGCGATTATGATTAAGCCCATTGTGTTGATTTATTTGTGCGCAATATCTTCTCTACATAAATTGATTTCAAGAAGAATCTGTGATAGTTTTCCTCATGATTGGTCGTAAAATGTGAAGAGAAAAAACAATAAAAAGATGGATGTGAAAAATAAATTAAACCGTTTACGATTTTTTTGTTTTTTTTGTTAAAGTAGATATTCATTGATTTTAAAAACTAACTTTATTTTCATTATTGCAAAGTTGAAACTTTGATTCGACAAGGTTATCAAAATTCAATGCTTGAATACATTCGAAGTAATGATTATTATAAATTACAAAACGCTTAAATACAGCCCCGGCATAGCACCTGAAGAGCTCTCCGAACGCTGCTGAGAAATCATGTATGAGATCACAGTATGGACATGATTTGCACAAGCAGACGATGTCCCATGACATCTCACACATTTTCAGTGCCTGTGTTTTCATCTTCTCTTGAGTTCTTTCTCTTACTTCACTACCGTAAGGCTAAATGTATAATCTATTGCCTCACTCTAAACCCCGCGCATGGTTTTATTTTGATGACAAATGCAGCGATACAAAAATAAAGGAATCTGTCGCTTGTAAACAAAATAAGACGCCATTGTATATTCATTCCGCGGGGAGTTTTCAATTTGAAAGTCTGGTTTCTTTGATTGTTAATTAACCCCTATCCTGTGTATTTACAAGCAAAAGATTTCAGTTATCAGAATCGGGTCATATCCCCTTTTGAATGGTTTGAAATGCCATTACATTAATATATACACTAAACTCATTATAATTTGACAAATAATAGCTTTGCAATTATGTTCATTCATTATGGGATGTCGTATGCTTGGGCAGGGTTGGTTCATATTGTGACGGCATCTCGAGTAAACTTATAAAAAATATGAGGTAAACGGAGATGGGGAGAGACAGAGAGAGAGAGAGAGAGACAGTGAGAGACAGAGAGAGAGAGAGACAGAGAGGGAAAAGGAACAAAAATGGGTGGGAAATATAGAGGAGAAATGGAAGATTCTCCGACATGCTCCAGCAATAATTTTTGTGGTTTTTAGCTCATCCGGCCTGAAGGGCCTGATGAGCTGATGCCATGCGTGGCGTCCGTCGTCCGTCCTTCCGTCCGCCCTTCCGTCCTTCCGTCCGTCCTGCGTCCACAGTTTTCAAAATGCTTCTTCTTCGTTATTTTTCAACCGATAGGGCTAGGAGGGGGATTTTAAACTTCTACACAGAATCGTGAAATTCATTATCTATGCTAATTTTTGCAAATTTATTCGAAATCACAAAAAATGCTTCTTCTCCCTCATTTCTTGACCGATTTTGATTTGGTTTGCCTTATCTGGCAAAGAGATTTTGCTCCATTGAATAATTATGGTAATTTATGCAAATTTATTCCAAAAATAATTTTAAATCACAAAAAATGCTTCTTCTCCTTCATATTTCGACCGATTTTGATTTGATTTGCTTTATATCATAGAGCTTACTTTGGTACACTATACCTCTTCGCAGAATTTTGAAATTGTTCTCCATTAATTTATTATGGTAATTTATGCAAATTTATTCTAAAAATAACAAAAATTCCTCCTCCCCCTCATTTCTTGACCAATTTTGATTTGGTTTTCCTTATCTGGTAGAGCCCTTCCAGGTCATCAAATTTTTATTTTTTGACCAGTTCAAAAGTGTACCACATAAAACTTACGATATTTGTTGTTAATTACGAGATGCGGATGAGCGCTACGTCATTGGCGTTCTGGTTTGTTGTTGTCAAGAGATAAGGGTAGGGTTGCATGTAAGCTGCAATCACTAACTCTAATTTGACGCTTCACCACAATTCCTGAAGCCTCGAGCAGAGCCTAGATCTGTCAGTTTCCGTGCAGTACTAAAGAGACTATTGTAGTCTCACTTTGCAGACACTATATAACGCACATTGACTGCCTAGAGTTTGTGGCTGCATACTGTAGGTTGCATCAGTGTTTTTTAGGTTATGTTTCAGTTTAGGTATGATTTGGTTTGGTCCAATTAAGGTTTGATATAAGAATTCGAATAGAGTAAAAAGTTGATCGCATGGTAACTGTAGCCAAAACGGGCTGTGTTGGACAGGACGGGAATGGAAGGAAGAGACGAGTTAAGGGTCAGGAGCGGGGGGGGGGGGGGTGGGGGTGCGGTACAGAGGGAGAGAAGATATCGTCGGCCTTATGCCAAAAGGGCCTTAACTGCTTTTGGCCATTCCGAGATAATCGCGTTTAAAGTTTTGGCCTCTCTAATAATCAAAAGTTTATGGTCGTTTTTTTGTTTTTGAAGCCAATTTCGATAAAATGTGTTAAGTTATTAAGTTTTACATGAAATGTATTAAATGTGTTATAAAATATTCGGAATTTTACATGCTATGTGCAAAAAACATGTCAGGAGCGGGGGGGGGGGGGGGGGGGGGGGGTGGGGGTGCGGTACAGAGGGAGAGAAGATATCGTCGGCCTTATGCCAAAAGGGCCTTAACTGCTTTTGGCCATTCCGAGATAATCGCGTTTAAAGTTTTGGCCTCTCCAATAATCAAAAGTTTGTGGTCGTTTTTTTGTTTCGATAAAATGTGTTAAGTTATTAAGTTTTACATGAAATGTATTAAATGTGTTATAAAATATTCGGAATTTTACATGCTATGTGCAAAAAACATGTTAGGGCCTTTTGGCATAAGGCTTGAATGTAGCGTATTTATGCCAGAAGGGCCGTAACCTACTCGGCATTATGCCAAAAGGGGCGTAACCTATTCGGCGTTATGCCAAAAGGGCCTTAACCTGCCGTTATCGTACGCGCGCATAGTTATAGCGCCCTTCTGGCATAAAGAAATTTCCTTGTTTCGCAACACCTTTGGTTTGCCAGAAAGCGCCCCTCCTACAGCTGCTGGATCACGAAAACTGATAAAACTGATTAATTAAAATGCTAGAAAAAGTATTTTTGATATCTGAATATTTGTATTAAAGGAAACCAAAACCTTCATACTAAGTTACTTTTATTGTAAAGTTTAAGATATTTGAAAAATATCAGTGAAAATTTGAACAAAATCGGGCAAGGAATAAGGAAGTTAGAGCTTTTTGAAATGACTAGTCACTAGAGGGCGGTATTCAATTTGATGACATCATCTGTGGACAACTCTCAAAGTCTTTTGTACATCAAATTTCATGTTTTTCCTTCTTTCTTGTGATTGAGATAATCTGCTCCCCTGAATACAAGATATAGAATGCAAAATGATATTCTACTTCACATGTTATGAAGTCGGATCAAGAACACAAATAAATACGAAGAAAACAAAAAAAATTGTGAAATTTTATGTACAAAAGGCATGGAGAGTTGTTCACAGATGATGTCACCAAATTGAATACCGCCCTCTAGTGACTAGTCATTTCAAAAAGCTCTAACTTTCTTATTCCTTGCCCGATTTTGTTCAAAATTTTCACTGATTTTATTCAAATCTTTAAAACTTTACAATAAAAGTAACTCGAAAATAATCATCGTCTGAATTCAGTTTACCCCCCCCCCCCCCCTCTTGCACGAAGCGCGGTAGCTTTGACGTTTCATTAAAGTATTATTGAATTATTAGAGAAATAAGACGTTTCGTTGTACCGTTCTCGTAAATAATACTCGTCTGAATTCATTTTACCCCCCCCCCCCCCCCCGTCCGCGCGAAGCGCGGAAGCTTTGATGTTTCATTAAATCATTAGAGAAAGAAGACGATTCGTTGTACCGTTCTCGACTCTTAATCCTTGTCTGAAGCCAGCCCCACCCCCCCCCCCTCTTGCACGAAGCGCGGAAGCTTTGACGTTTCATTAAAGTATTAGAGAAAGGAGACGATTTGCTGTACCGTTCTCGACTCGGCTCAAGGGTTTTAGGCACTAAATTACGGTCAGCTGAGTATCAAGGGGCCCGCCTTAGGGCCCTCGGTTGGGTCCAGGGCCAGAGCCCCGGAAGCTCAGGGATTTTAGGCATTTAATTACGGTTAATACCTTATTTTGTTGTGACACTGGCATTTTTTCTTACTTGCTCTCTTTCTTTCCATTTCTCTTTATATACTATTTCAAAAAAAGTGGAGGGGGGGGGGGGAGGGACCTCAAGGCTCCCGATCCCCGCCGTTCCGTGGGCCCTGACGTGTAGGCCCCTAGGCATCTCAAGAAGCATATTTCTTGCCTGGCTGTAAATTTAGGAATTTGTCATTTTACAACAAACGCATAAAAAAGTATAATTTACTAAAAAATCTCGGAAAATTATGTCATTTCAGCATTATGTGCAAAAACCACCGTTATGGAATTAGAAATAAACCACGTTTGAATTTTATTTCCCCCGAGCCCCCTCCCCAATCAGTACGCCAGTGCCCCCCCCCCCCTGATTTACATTTTGTTGGCAACTGATCTCCCCTACGTTTTTTCTTTCTCTTTTTTTTTCTTTCCCTTTCTCTCCTCTTTCCCTTTTCTTTCCCTTCCTTCTCTCTCTCTTTTAGGTTTTCTATCTCCCCTTCTTTTCACCCCTTTTTTTCTTCTTCTTCCTCTCTTTTGGTCCCTTTTAGCTCTCCTTTTTTCATTTTCCTTCCTTCTCTCTTTTTTTTTAGCGGGGCGGGGGCGGGGGCGGGGGCGGGGGGAGGCAAAGACTTATTCTCTCTCTCTTCCTGTCTTGCATAAAGAAAATATAAAATAATATTTTGCCTTGATTAAGAAAAATTTAAATTTTATCAGTATTAAACAGGGAGAAGAAAAGGGGAGGAAATTAATCAAAACAAACATTGAAGAATGCAATTCAGTGTTCTTTCGTGATTCATAAGAATGAAAGTACATTGAAAGGTGAAATAATAAATTGAAGAGCGATGATAAATCAATTCTTTGACGTTGATTGATTGAATAAAAAATAATGAAACAATATGGTCTGAAGGTCATATATCTTCGAATATTAGAAAGTTTCATCCACCATCGTGTTGTTGAACACTATTTGCAATTTAATGTTAATGCGGTGACTTGTCGGTTACGAGCAGAAGGTCATTTCAGGCTTCTATATTCTATAATACTATCAACATATATCTGGATAGAGACACCTCGTCACATCAAGCTACGAGAAAGTATATCATCATCTCACAGAATTCTACTCGAACACCGCATCGAAAT